CTCGCCTGACCTGAACCCCATAGAGAATCTATGGGGCATTTCCAAGAGAAAGATGAGAGACATGAGACTGAACAATGGAGAAGAGCTGAAGGCCACTATTGAAGCATCCTGGTCTTCCATAACACCTCAGCAGTGACACAGGCTGATAGCTTCCATGCCACGCCGCACTGAGGCAGTAATTGCTTTAAAAGGGGCCCAAACCAAGTACTGAGTCCATATGCATGCTTATACTTTTCAGAGGTCCGATATTCTATGTACACTCCTTGTTTTATTGATTGCATGTAATATTCTAATTTACTGAGATTGTGGATTTGGAGTTTTCATGAGCTGTAAACCATAATCATCGCACTTATGACAAATCACGGCTTGAACTATCTTGCTCTGCATGTAATGCATCTATCTCATATATTAGTTTTCCCTTTTACGTTGCATTACTGAAATAAATGAACTTTTGCACGATATTCTAATTTTTTGAGTATCACCTGTAGTTAGCCCTCCAGGTAAGACAATTGGGTTGACATCATTTATAAGATATGCTGTTGGGAATTTGTAAGATATATTGGTATACATTTGTTTTTTAGAATTTGTACACATACATGCAATATATACAAAAAGAGGAAGAATAGTGCCAAAAACTTCAATAATACTGTCACAATTATTTAAATGTAAAATTGAGAACAATTAAAAAAAAAGTCTGCATATGTTACAATAGATAAACTGCATCAGAAAACATGACCAGTGGTCATAATCTAAAGCTCATTGACAGGGATTATTCACATACATACACAGCATCAAAAATACAATACTAAATCAGCTTCCATGCTTATATTTGTTACTTTATCTATCTATCTTATCAAAAAAGTTTAAAGAAGAAAAGCATATCGCCCCCTCCTCCCAATAATATCACCAACAGGTGATTAAGTAAAGGGCGAATAGTTGTGCATTCAAAGTAAATTCATAATGACATTTAAGGCCAATGTAGTTTAACTAGAAACATAGTGGATTTGGAGAATGTCTAAATTTTGGCTACTTTTGGCTTTAAATTTAAAATTCACTTTGAATTCATAGCAATTCTCACCCCTGTGAGTAACCCTAATAGTTTATTTATCCATTAGAGTGGTTTGTTGCAGTTTTCTACACAGACCACAAGAGGTCATGCACGTAAAGGTAAAGATGAAGTTAGACTTGGCTAAAAAATAAATTAAAAAAAAGGTACAAATACCATCTTTGATATAATCACTGGCACTACTTTAAATGTGTCACTTATAATTAGTGCGGTAGTAAAGGTAATAACCATTTATAACAACAGGTATAAATGTGGGTTATAAACACAAAAGAACAAGTCAAAGTCTCATGAAATGACCAGCAGTCCTAAAGTATGTTTACAGAAGACCATCTTTTATTGCAAGTAACAGCTAATTAGCAGTCATATCTCTGTCAGCAACCAAGGAACTTTGGAAGCGGTCATCTCTATATGCAAGAGACTTATGCTAATGGTTTATAATACAAACAGAAAACAAATTAGCAAAAAGAGGATATTTCACTGTTCGTGTGATTATTATTTTATTATCATCAATTATCATTATTTTATTCTCAGCAATTTTAAAGCTCAGAGAATTGAATACTTAAAAAAACAACAACAAAAAAACTGACTTAAAAAATTATGGGGGTTTAGTTACTTTATATGATCATACATTGCATAAGCCTGCCACAATGCCAATGTACCCCATTCTTGACAGGCCCTATCCTAGCAATCTAGTGACTGCTCTTGTGAGATTAATCCACTTACTTGGGAAATGCTTCATCCTGGGGCTCTCTGCAGGTCAAGGCTAAATAGGATCCTGGAATTAGACACCTGTGACAGGGAGGGGTGCAAAACCAGGAAGTTGGCATGGACTCCCAAATATAGATATATGAAACCAAAAGGTGGGTACACTCACCTGAACATGCATACATTATATTTCATAATTAATAGGAACGTTTGCAGCTCCTTTTCATCTTTCAAATGTTATTATCGTGACATCCTGATGTTTATGTTGCAATTTAGCAGAGTTGTATTAGTACAAGAGAAAGACAGACAATCTACTTTCTCTCCAACACCATAGAGCACACACTACGTCCTCTAACACATACAGAATAGGCACCAGTGACTATTTCAAACAATCCCCTTCTCGATAGTGCCTAATTCAAAACCATCAAATTTATTTTCAAGGATATTTTCTCAAAAATGTCTCTTGGCAAGGGTTTTGTCAAAATGTCAACTGTCATGTTTGCTGTTGGGTAGTACTGCATCTCAAATCCTTTCTAGAACAGGTTTCTTAATGCATATCTCTGATACCAATATACTTGGTGCATGCATTTACTTTCTCTGTCTGAACCATCTTTATACAGCTATGGCTTTCTTCCATCAGACAGATGGGTATTGGTTCTAACATTCCCAAGTCATCTATTAGTTAGTTAAACCATTGTGCATTTTTGCATGTTTCTGCTACGGAGGTACTCTGCTTCTGTACAAGAATGAGCCACTGATTGTTGCATATAGCACTTTTCCTATATAGGAACAGGGACACTCCAGACCTCTAAAGAGCTTTAGCTTGCTGTAATGCTTTATACATGAATAGTGTATTTTTTTCATTTAACATGGTTACATATCCTTGACTGTCAAGCAGACAACAGGTCGTGTTACTTCCTGCTTTGGTTAGCTCAGTGGAGCTAAACTCAAGATGCAGCAATTGTTCAGAGCACCTGCCTTGCAAAAACTTCTCATTGAGCTGCATTGGGAAGTCTGTGATTACAGCAACATAAACTCTGGGCAGGGATAGAAGGGGAGGGCTTGCAATGGCAGCAGGTAAAAAAAAAAAAAATCGGTAACGATTGCAAGCTGGTTTAAGATATGCCCTAATAAATAAAAAATACAAAATTTGTATTCTTAAATGTATGGATGTTTTCATTGTATTTGTCAGAAATAAGGGGGATCCTAACTATAGAGAGTAAGCAAAGTAGTAACGTACCGGACCTTAGAATGGCTGGACTGGGGTTACTAAAGAATAAAGAATAGACAGGATGAGCCGAGGGCAGGGAGCCAGAGGTAGGGAGAACGAGAATACTTAAGCCAGGTCAAATGGATACCAGAGGGAAGAATAGACAAAAGCCAAAGTTCAATACCAGAAAATATCAAGGAGTACAACGCGCTATTGGGATCAAAGAACCACAACAGGGCAAGGAACCTAACTCATGGGAGCCTTTTATATCGTGACTGGATCTGTCTGGGATGATAACCATGCCCCCAAAACATCAATTTTCGGACGTTTGGGTGTGCATCTATATATCCTAGTATTCTAGGATCTGACTGCTGATAACTTTAGCTTAAAATAAACACATGCTTTGAGATATATCTTACTACTCTCTTGCAACCCGGTCTCTCTTACTTTAAGAGCTCACTTTTCTACACATTATTCCCATTGCAGATGCAATGTCAGGACTGCAAGTTGTAGGTAGATACAGAAGCTTACCTTTGACTGCTGTATACATACTGTTGTTGAGCAAGTCTTACTTTCACTTTGTGTGGACATTTGCTCACATGAGTGTAGCTACAGCATGGACTTCCTTGAGATCCATAAACTGTATTAAATCTAGAATCGTGTGTCGAGATTGAGAAGATAACCACCATTGTCATCTTTTTCTACCTGCATTCAGAGATAAATGGATGTTACCCATTCTTTTGACTTCTATGTCTTTGTTCAATTGTGTAACAATCTATGTACAGTCCTGTTGTCTTTCACTATTCAAGATCAAGTCATCTACATAAAGTGGTAGAAAAGTCAATTTTCCATTTCTTTGCCTGTTAAACATACATGAGTCTGCTTTACATTCAATGAAGTTTTGTTCTATGAGCATGTCAAATAGTTTCTCATTCTGCACTCTCACAGCTTGTTTGAGTTGATAGAATTCAGGCTGTCGTGTAATCTATTTTACCACACAAGAAAATTGACATTACATCTACCTGCTCTACATGAAACTTACATTTAGCTGCTCCAAGTGAAACTGTTTTGATGCTGCAATAGTTAGTAATGTTCTGATTTTGCTGAACTTAAGTATAGGTGAAAAAGTATCACGTTATCCATAATTCTAAGTAATTTTGCTGATAGACTAGCTTTGTTTACATTTCCACCTACATGCAGTTTTTGCTTGAATACCCTCTTGCAACCTGTGACCTTTTTACCTTTAAGTAACTCAGTGAAAATCCATGTTTTGTTGTTGTCTAAGGATTGAATTCCTTCTTTTGATGCTTCCTTCCACTTAACGGCTTCTGTAGTAGGAAGTTTACTAATATTACTCCAAGATGAAGGTTCATATGTTGACACTGATGTTGCAAGGTAGGAGAAACGAGGAGCTGGAATTCCCTTGTTTATTGTAGATGAGGAGTTGGTTCTACAAGTCTAATTAGCAGTATCTGGATCTGCAAAATAATTAACTTCATCTCTTTCCTCATCTGCTTGTATACTCCCTTGATTAAAGACATCTGTTTCTATGGCCTCACCCTGTGAACGTTGTATGAAAATTGGATCCTTGTTCTTTGGTCATTGCACAAACAGCTTGTTTAAAGGGACACTCAGCTGCCCAATAAAAAATAAATAAATACAAATCACTGTTTAGTATATATACCCCAAATGAAAGCATACATGCATTTAATTAGCCCTCGACTTCTAAAGTAGCCCTGACCATCTCAGTGAGACGTCTTTGTGAGGCAGGTGCTCTGAGCAATTGCTTTCCTCTTAAATTTTGCTCCACTGTGCTAACCGAACCAGGAAGTAACAGGAACTGTTTTATGCATAAAAGCCAGGGGGATATAACAAGGTAATTGGGGGCATGGCCTGCAACTTAAGGGTGATGTCAGCTTGAACAAGTAGCTCCACTCTACCCAGCCCTTACAACAGCATACATCTCGCAAGTAGAACCATCATGGGCCACAATAAAAAGTCAGACATACACCAAACGTCATGAGGATCGCACATGGGCTCACACTTGGGTCCTATGAACTGCTTTGTGAACATGACATTAGGGAGTCTGGATTCTGTGCTGGGTGCAGACTTACCTCCCCTATCTCTTCAGACACTTTCCAGGTTACAATGTTGCTGGAGCAAATCAGTGCCGATCTCAGGATGCTCACGGAAGCTTTGGTCACCAAGTCAAACCTGGCTGTCCTGTTAACAGACCTTCATGGAACCAAAATGGCCATGCTGTGGACAGAAGTGTCTGCTTTGGAAAGTAGAGTTCAGGCCTTGGAAGCCTCATCCCAGACCCTGAAGAGCAAGGGTGTGGCAGTGGAACTGGAAGCTACGTGGCAAGGCACAATGCTTCTGGCTCTACATAGACAGGTGGAGGATGTTGATAACAGGGGAAGGAAAAATAGCATCTGATTAAGAGGAACACCTGAGGCCCCAGAGGGTAGGAGGTAGTTCTCTCCAATCTGTTTCGTATGATACTGTGAGAATATGCTCTGGAGCCACCCCCCCCCACCCCCCCCAGACACCAGATTGTACACCCAGGGATATCATCTGTTGTCTCCACTACTTTCCAGTGAAGAAAAGCATCATGTTTAAAGCAAGTGACAGACTAACCTGGGATTTTAGGGACACATTGGTGTCACTGTGCCAGGGCCTGTTACCATTATCCTGGAAGCACACAGGGCTCTAAGACCCATCACTACAGTGGCATATCCCCTGTAAGTGGGGCAGTGTCATCCCACAAGGTGACACTAAGCTTTCCTACCCTAGAGCCAGGGATCAGCAAGGCTCTAGTAAAGGTGAGAGTTTAACATCACTGTGTTATTTAAATGCTGTTTTGGTGAATATTACACTATCATTGTCTGTCTATGTCTTTGCTTGCTTCGACATTATTTCTTCCCGGATGCCAGGTGGGGTGCTGCCTTTAAGAGCACTTCTGCGTGAATAATTGAGCCATATATTTTGAGCTTTAATTAATGTGAGTGTATCTACCACATGTATTCTGCACGAGTGAAATTTTTTCAGTACCATATGCATGATATGTGCTTTTATTGCCTTGTTTTTCATGGTTTATTATATTATTTAAGTGTTCTACACATCTACGCACATGTAATTTTGTTAGCGCGTCACTACTGTTAAATAAGTCTGACACTTATTAACACCTGTTTTGGGGGGCTTGCCTTTTAGCCTGATTGCTAGAAGAGGTGCAAATCTTCTTCCACAACATGGAACTACCCCAAAAGTCAATCCTAGACTGGTTATTGAGGCCTTGGATGCAGGCCCCAGTCCCGCACAACTGGCGGAAGGAGAGGACTATCACTGCTCGTCTCTCCGGTCCAAATGCACCCGGACCCAGCCCACCTGGAACGGAGGAATGAGTCCCTAAACAGAGTCTCCAGCAGGTGCCGAGCAGCAGAGAAGACCCACAATAGACCCACTACACTGTAGAGTGATAGCTCCATCTGACCACGAGAGACACTCCAGCCTCAGGTTGTATTCACACAGCATGGATATCACAACCAGCAAAAGGTACAGTGGCCTTGTGTACCCAAAAGAACGCCCAAGCCTATGTTTCCAAAATTGCCTGTCAGGGCCAGGTGGTGTGATGGGTACATTACACCACCTGGCCCTGACAGGCATTTTTCGAACATAAGCAGGGGTGGTAGGTTCTTTCTCTGCAACCACCTAACCTGCAGGACTTAGATGGATCACTGGATTTACCTACACTGAGATGAGTGCAGAAGGGGGCATACATTTAGGCTGGAGGCATAATAGGGAGATGGGGCCCTCATCATAGTGTAGACATTGCCAGTCCTATCACTGTCTAAAATAAAATACATCAGGACTTACACTTAATACCCATTAAATACTCTGGTACCAATTTAAACGGACAATAGCATTGTAACGGACCGTTTTGCCCACAAGAGGTTAAAAACCGTTTAGGCGATATTCCCCTTTCAGATGCACAGACAGCTATTGCAATCACCAATCTCCCGAACTGCAAACTACATGAATTATCTGTAACGGATCGCCTGGCACCCCGTATGGGTACCTCCGTTGAAGGATGCTCCTAGCGCTTCCTGAGGACTCCAAGCACTCTGGCAGACACCACAATCACCGAACCGGAGAAACAAATAAATTCTCCCAAGCATTTGAATGCTGTAGACAGTTGAATAGGAACCATACGAATAGGTTTACTCTCCTAGCAGTCAAACTGGAACAGCATACAATAAATCCTTCCCCCAATAATGAGACGACACTTCACTTTTAGGGTTAAAACAGGAACTCCCTGTACTGTCACATACAGTCTCTTTTATTCCCAATCCACAAACATAGTACAGCCCACAGGGCGTTACAAAACAACCAATCAATCCGTACAATACACCCAGACACTCCCACACAAAATCCTCCCCTCTGCCTGTGATATGATTACTGAACACAATGGGTAATCTCATTATCAGAGGAATACAGTTTTTACACAATATTTCTAACTTCTAAAATATACATGTCACAAACATAAAACATACATTTTCATAATCAATCCATTCAGGGGAACAACATATTAAAAAATGGCACGAATCAGACCAGGGGTTCAAAAGTTAAGGGAAAGTCCTTTGTGACTAAATGAAGCATGGTTTTTCTGCCCAAAACCAGTTCCACAGAGTCTTCTATAGTGGAGATAATTGACAAGTAATTCAATTATCTCCAAGGACAGAGGCAAAACTCCATTAGCCACATGGCAGACAAAGGACAATAAAAGACATAAAAATACAATAAATTATACAAGGTTACATTTATTACATAAAATACAGACATTCTACCTATCCCCAGATAGCTTAGATCTGAGCGCACATTATTACCGGATGGCGCCCAGATCACATACATACAGTTCAATCGCCATGGAGCCAAAGTCTTTCATACAGTCTTTCAGTATACTGCTGGGCTCCATGGCATAGCTATCTGGGGTAGCATGGCTTTAACAGTCCGCAGAAAGGCACAAACCAGCCTTTCTGCAGGGAAAAAGAACAGGGGCCATAGTCTAAAGGCAAGAGGCGGGCAAGCAGCCCCCTCCAAGGACACGTGGCGAGGTTGGTTTTGCCACATTTCTCCCCTTTACCATCCAGACTAACAGGGTATCTGATCTCCTGTCAGTCAGTGCCCTGGTTAGTCCAGCAACCCACCCACAGAACACAATCAGCAGTACAGCCCACCCACAATAAAGAGTTACTGCACCTGGGTAAACGTGCAGCCAGTTTTTGTCCAGGGGCTCCCTCACGGCTTTGTGGGGTATGGGTACTTTGGATCTGTGGGTTGCTGAGTGGGCAGAGACCAGTGGTACTCTGCCCTGGTGCCAGTGTCTCCCCTCTGGATACACCGCTCTGTGGCTGGGGGACAGGGCCGACCGTCCCTACCCCTTGTGCTGTAAGTGCAGAGACTATGGTCCCATCTGCACGGTTGTGGGGCTCCACATCCCCCCTTGGTGAGTTAGGCTGCCGCTGGGGAGAGGGGGTAACAAGCTCCTCTCCCTGAATCGTAGACTGCCGCTGGGGAGAGGGGGTAACAAGCTCCTCTCCCTGAATCGTAGACTGCCGCTGGGGAGAGGGAGTAACAAACTCCTCTCCCTTACACACTTCCAGCCGCTGGGGAGAGGGAATGACAAGCTCCTCTCCTTGACACTCTCTCTGCCGGTTGAGGGGGGAACCGACTGTCTCCCCTTTCAATATTTCGTCCTGCTGCCGGGGGCCGAGACCGCCTGCCTCAGCTGCCCCATCTGGGAGAATAGGATCTCCCCTTTGTAAACTAAGCTGCCGTTGGGGAGGAAGGACGACACCTTCAGCTCCCTGGGGTACACACTGCCGCTGGGGAGGAAGGACGACACCTTCAGCTCCCTGGGGTACACACTGCCGCTGGGGAGGAAGGACGACACCTTCAGCTCCCTGGGGTACACACTGCCGCTGGGGAGGAAGGACAACACCTTCAGCTCCCTGGGGTACACACTGCCGCTGGGGAGGAAGGACGACACCTTCCGCTCCCTGGGACACACACTGCCGCTGGGGACCCTCGCAGGACCAGTCTAGGAGGTCCGCTACCTCGGGTACCGCTGGTTGCTGTTGGGAAAGAGGACCGGCTGTCTCTTCCCGGGCCTCATTGATGAGTCGCAGGTAATCCCACTCCAGGTTCCATTCCTTGGTGACCAAATACTGTATGTCTGCCTCGAGGTCAATAGTGCTAGGGAGCCCCAGCATGTCTTCTCGGTCGTAACACAGGTCCCAAAAACGAGAGTCAGTAGCTTTCCCAAAGTCCTCATCGTCAATATTGTCCCAAAATAGGCCAGGGCCAGCGTAACCTCCGCCTTCTGGGAACTCATACTCTGCCAACTCGGGGACACACTGAGCTGCGTACCACTGTATCGCCTGGTATGCGTCTCGAGCGCCAGTTCTGCATATACTAAAATCTCGAGTCTAATCACCCACGCTTCTTCGGTCTTTTTCCTCAGGAGGGGCATCCGCTCTGCCATTCGAGCCAGGATTCGCTGCCTTCTGCTGTGGCGCCGATCCCCTCGCGAATACTGTACTTCCTCTAGGGCTTCGTCCCACAACCCAGCTCTGGCACTCTCTCTGTACCTCAACATGTCTTCCTCTGACACTGCTCCCGACCTCAGGGATACGTAACAGTACAATCTATCTTGCAACTTCTCCTCCATTTTCTGAGTTCCTTCGTAGATAGGGGCGCTGTACGGGTACTGGCGTTGCCCTCAAATTGTAACTCCAAACGAACTGTGTCTCTGAGCTGCTTTACCTCGCACTAGGATGCCATCCCACCGCTTGCCACCAATGTAACGGATCGCCTGGCACCCCGACTGGGTACCTCCGTTGAAGGATGCTCCTAGCGCTTCCTGAGGACTCCAAGCACTCTGGCAGACACCACAATCACCGAACCGGAGAAACAAATAAATTCTCCCAAGCATATGAATGCTGTAGACAGTTAAATAGGAACCATACGAATAGGTTTACTCTCCTAGCAGTCAAACTGGAACAGCATACAATAAATCCTTCCCCCAATAATGAGACGACACTTCACTTTGAGGGTTAAAACAGGAACTCCCTGTACTGTCACATACAGTCTCTTTTATTCCCAATCCACAAACATAGTACAGCCCACAGGGCGTTACAAAACAACCAATCAATCCGTACAATACACCCAGACACTCCCACACAAAATCCTCCCCTCTGCCTGTGATATGATTATGTGAACACAATGGGTAATCTCATTATCACCGGCAGAGGAATACAGTTTTTACACAATATTTATAACGTCTAAAATATACATGTCACAAACATAAAACATACATTTTCATAATCAATCCATTCAAGGGAACAACATATTAAAAAATGGCACGAATCAGACCAGGGGTTCAAAAGTTAAGGGAAAGTCCTTCTATAGTGGAGATAATTGACAAGTAATTCAATTATCTCCAAGGACCGAGGCAAAACTCCATTAGCCACATGGCAGACAAAGGACAATAAAAGACATAAAAATACAATAAAATATACAAGGTTACATTTATTACATAAAATACAGACATTCTACCTATCCCCAGATAGCTTAGATCTGAGCGCACATTATTACCGGATGGCGCTCAGATCACATACATATAGTTCAATCGCCATGGAGCCAAAGTCTTTCATACAGTCTTTCAGTATACTGCTGGGCTCCATGGCATAGCTATCTGGGGTAGCATGGCTTTAACAGTCCGCAGAAAGGCACAAACCAGCCTTTCTGCAGGGAAAAAGAACAGGGGCCATAGTCTAAAGGCAAGAGGCGGGCAAGCAGCCCCCTCCAAGGACACGTGGCGAGGTTGGTTTCGCCACATTCTCCAACTCCCAAACAGGAAACTTACAAATACTGGAAACAGCTGAACAGGAAAAACCATATAAAAGGTTTACACTCCTGGCAGTCAGCATACAATCCAATTCCCCCAATAACGAGATGACACTTCGTTTGAGGGTTAAGCAGAATCTGGTTTACTGGGGCTACCTGCCCGGATTTTATGCAGGTCTCCCACCTGGTGGACACTCCCCTAGGGGACCAGATGGGAAACAGGGAAACATATTGGCTCTTAGCCAATCACATACATACACCTTTAAACACTCCCACAATTACATCACAATCCCTCCTCTCTGTCCTGGAGATAACTGGGAAGTAATCCAATTATCTCCAAGGACAGAGGCAAAACTCCATTAACCACATGGCAGTAAAAATACAGTAAAAGACATAAAATTACATACAGTCACATTTATTACCTAAAACATATACATTCTACATATCCCCAGATAGCTTAGATCTGAGCGCACATTACTACCGAATGGCGCTCAGATCACATACATACAGTTCAATCGCCATGGAGCCAAAGTCTTTCCCATAGTCTTTCATTACACGAATAGGCTCCATGGATTAGCTATCTGGGTGATGCTGTTCATCCGGTTAAACTACCGAATGAACAGTCATTCGGTTCTGCTACCGAATGGGAATGTAAGGAGGCTGGCGTCTCAGCAGTGTTCGCGCCAATAAGTGTCCGTTTTCAGTTCCATAATTTGGGCGCTGAACACCGCTGGCCGTTCGGGAGCTAAAATGGCCGCTGCCACTCGTTCGGCAGACGAACAAAGGCCACCAGCGTTCATCAATTAAGCTGCGGTTAACCACAGCTTCTGGGCGGTCAATTGACGGCACACTCCAGCTCCCAGGTGGTCCATCGTTCGGTAGTTTGTTCGGTAGATGGAATCTACCGAACACCCTGGCAGAAAGGCACAAATACACCTTTCAGCAGGGAAAATAACAGCTCTGAACTGCAGGGCCATAATCTAAAGGGAGCAGGCGAGCAACAAGGCTTCTCCAGTGTACAGTGGCGAGGTTGGTTCCGCAACAAGCATATTACCAGATGTGGAGATAAGGGTGGGGGAGGGAGAGGAGAAATGGGATAAAAGGGTGCGGGACAACACACCAAAATAATATAAATATATAGGCCCAAAGAAGACCAAAACGATCATCCGGGATTGATGTATCTATTTTGCAAACAGAACTTGCTGGCATTTCAATTCTTGACTGCCCTTATGGGTGGGATTAGTTTGATACACCTTGGAACTGGTTCTCTCTGTAATGTCACAATTGAGCAAAAGCTATTTTGAGACCTCAGTGGGGATTTACAAAAGGGCAAGCTACTGAGTTCCTCTAAGCTTTTGTCCATTCTGAGAAATCTCATATTCTCTGTTTTCATTTCAGAGAAATTAACCTGGCTCTACCAAAGTTCAAAAGGGTAATCCAGATGTGGACCCTGTGCTCACTGTGCCTAGAGGGGTATCAGCTACACCTTGCTGGCAAGGCCCAAAGACAGAAACAGTGATCTGGGATTGATGTATCTCTCATGCAGAGAGAACTTGCTCAGAATTTTGGTTCTCGACTGCCATTATGGGGGGGATTAGTCTATGTCTTGGAACTGGTGCTCTCTGTAATAGCACAAGTGATACAAAACTGTCTCCTCATATGTATATAACAGAAGTACACAAAACAGTTTGAGAATACAAGTTTGTTCAGATAGATAGATAGATACAAACTGTTTTGTGTTTAAATGAATGTTAAATGTTATGCTATTTTATCTGTTTTCTGTAGAATCAAATAGTAGATGTGTATTCAGGTTAAAATTAATTGCGATTCATCTTAATTTCGGTTGATAGGCAGGTTGTCTGAATTCCAGAACTTCAAAGCATCATAAAGTGCATCATGTAACAAACAAGATGCACAGTAGATGAACCTTGTTTGTTTTGTGATTCTGAGTTCCATTAATAATGCCAAAAAGATAATTGATGGAAAAAAAAAAATACCCCTCTATGTCTCATTAGAGATATCTTTGCCAGAAGCAGGCTGAAGGGTCAGTGTTAGGACCCGCTTAGGGGGGTCTGCCTTGACGTTGGCAGGCGGGCATTCCCTCCAATGGCCATTGGAGAAACTAAATGACCTCCATTTGTGTAAATATACATAGGGATTAAGGAGAGAGCACAGGTAACTTTTTATTTTCCTTGGTTTTTACTATATATTGGGGCTGATGTGTACTGTAGTCATTGCTGCTGGCCCAGTAGTGATGGGAGTGAGCGCAGGACTTCTCTTTTTGTATTTGTATAAAAAAAGATAGTTGGCCCAAGGGAAGTGACCAAAAAAAATATTCATCACAATACACAATTAAAAATCCACAATCCACAAACACGTTTGCCTCAGGGCTTTATCAAAATGGAATAACCACACCGGTTACCTGGCAAGTGGGGATATAAAATTGATGTATACTGATACTGATCCCCACAGGCTTTTCTGAACTATTTGCCTGCTGGCTGCATTTGACACCAACATGCTACTAATTAACTCAGAATCATGAAACAAATGAAATGGTTTGTCTATTGTCTGTTTTATTTGCATTGTGATTGGGTCATATAACAACTCAGATTTTGGATTTTCAGTCAGTTCACCAATTGCCCAATATTTGAACAAATCACAATTCTGCCGAATTCAAATCTCCAAGTCTAATTATCAATGGCTTAAGTGCTTTATTTATATATACACTGCTCAAAAAAATAAAGGGAACACTTAAACAACACAATGTAACTCCAAGTCAATCACACTTCTGTGAAATCAAACTGTCCACTTAGGAAGGAACACTGAGTGACAATCAATTTCACATGCTGTTGTGCAAATGGGATAGACAATAGGTGGAAATTATATGCAATTAGCAAGACACCCCCAATAAATGAGGGGTTCTGCACGTGGTGACCACAGACCACTTCTCAATTCCTATGCTTCCTGGCTGATGTTTTGGTCACTTTTGAATGCTGGCGGTGCTTTCACTCTAGTGGTAGCATGAGACGGAGTCTACAACCCACACAAGTGGCTCAGGTAGTGCAGCTCATCCAGGATGGCACATCAATGCGAGCTGTGGCAAGAAGGTTTGCCGTGTCTGTCAGCGTAGTGTCCAGAGCATGGAGGCGCTACCAGGAGACAGGCTAGTACATCAGGAGATGTGGAGGAGGCCTTGGAGGGCAACAACCCAGCAGCAGGACCGCTACCTCCGCCTTTGTGCAAGGAGCAACAAGAGGAGCACTGCCAGAGTCCTGCAAAATGACCTCCAGCAGGCCAAAAATGTGCACGTGTCTGCTCAAATGGTCAGAAACAGACTCCATGAGTGAAATGAGGGCTTGACGTCCACAGGTAGGGGTTGTGCTTACAGCCCAACACCGTGCAGGATGTTTGGCATTTACCAGAGAACACTAAGATTGGCAAATTCGCCACTGGCACAAAGCAGGTTCACACTGAGCTCATGTGACAGACGTGACAGAGTCTGGAGACGCCGCGGAGAACGTTCTGCTGCCTGCAACATCCTCCAGCATGAACGGTTTGGCAGTGGGTAAGTAATGGTGTGAGGTGACATTTCTTTGGGGGGCCGCACAGCCCTCAAAATGCTCGCCAGAGGTAGCCTGACTGCCATTAGGTACCGAGATGAGATCCTCAGACCCCTTTTGAGACCATATGCTGGTGCGGTTGGCCCTGGGTTCCTCCTAATGCAAGAAAATGCTAGACCTCATGTGGCTGGAGTGTGTCAACAGTTCCTGCAAGACGAAGGATTTGATGCTATGGACTGGCCCGCCCGTTCCCCAGACCTGAATCCAATTGAGCACATCTGGGACATCATGTCTCGCTCCATCCACCAACGTCACGTTGCACCACAGACTGTCCAGGAGTTGGAAGATGCTTTAGTCCAGGTCTGGGAGGAGATCCCTCAGGACACCATCCGCCACATCATCAAGAGCATGCACAGGCATTGTAGGGAGGTCATACAGGCACGTGGAGGCCACACACACTACTGAGCCTCATTTTGACTTGTTTTAAGGATATTACATCAAAGTTGGATCAGCCTGTAGTGTGTTTTTCCACTTTAATTTTGAATGTGACTCCAAATTTGATTTCCATTTTTGTGTAATTTTGTTGTCAGCACATTCAACTATGTAAAGAACAAAGTATTTTAGAAGAATATTTAATAAATTCAGATCTAGGATATGTTATTTTTGTGTTCCCTTTATTTTTTTGAGCAGTGTATATTTACAGCTATATGTGTAAAACAAATAGAAAGCATAAGATGATGCTTCTCAGTTTCTAACTGTATTGATAAAGTTATTTTTGCAAAACAATTAATGCAAATATTGTTAGCAGAGCTTTCAGCTGTTTCTAAAAATGCACTGTGATCCAAGAAACTCTACTGTATTGTTTGCCATACATATTATCTTATCTTTCCGTGCTGTGTCTTGTACTTTGATTTCTAATGACCGGCAGATTTTCCTTTTCCCTTTATCAGTATGGTTTCACAGTAATGATTGTATTGCCAGCCCATGCATGAACATGACTATAAAAGAAACTGCAGCTTAAGTCTCAAGCCTGTTTGTCAGTAAGGACTTATACAAGGCACTATGTGCTGTAAGGCAATAATTTGGCTGTCTGTTGCATCGGTCATCGGAGGATTGCTAGCAATATTAGGTGGAATTCTTATACCCCTGGGAGATAAAATCATTGGTGATGAAGTCAGCAAGGTACAGTGACTCTTAAATAATATTTATTTATTTTAATTATTCATTTTGTGCTAGTAATTTTGTTTGTACTATAGGATATTATAGAGCCATCAAGACAACCTTCACCTTATACAATATCTTACTTTCAAGGCAATACTAAACTAACAGTTGGTATCAACACATATAAGCGAATGCTTGTAATGTTCAAAACTGTTTTCATCTTTTTAGCATAAAATATGAAAATTATTTACACATTTATCATACCACTTACTCACAATACAATGAGATATACAGCAAGAATTTTGCGAGTGTGAGTTATATTTTTAGCAGCAGCTGCCTACATTAATTTGATTCCTCTCAAAAAAATGTTATGCCTTGGTAGGAGATATTTCACTCTGCTCAGCTCCTCTCCCAGAATATTACTCAGGGGCGGACTGAGCAATCGGGCAATTCGGTCATGGCTGCAGTAAGAAATGGCTGAGCTGGGGAGTTAAACAATTTCCCCAGCCAGCCTTCACAAAGTAAGGGGCCCGCACAGTCTTCCGCAGTCCCCTACTGCTAAAAACTTTCTCCCTTTGCTGGGTACACTGAGGGACATCTAAGGGCAGGGCCGGACTGGCCCACCGGGATACCGGGAACATGGGGTGTGTGTCTGTCTGTCATGGGGTGTGTGTCTGTCCGTCATGGGGTGTGTGCCTGTCTGTGTCATGGTGTGTGTGCCTGTCTGTGTCATGGTGTGTGTGTGTGGGTCTGTCTGTGTCATGGTCTGTCTGTCCGTCATGGTGTGTCTGTCTGTCCGTCATGGTGTGTGTCTGTCTGTGTCATGGTCTGTCATGGTGTGTGTGTGTGTCTGTCATGGGGTGTGTATCTGTCATGGTATATGTGTGTTTCTGTGTCTGTCATGGTGTATATGTGTGTTTAAAAATAGTGTTTTTGCTCATCTTTTTTTTCCCCACGCAGCGTGCTGGTCTCCCCTCGACTGGCCCTGCCTCTATAGCTGAGATCATCATGCTTGATGATCTCAGCCAATCCAATGCTTTGCCATAGGATTGGCTGCAAAACGCCACTCCAATCAGCATCTCCTCATAGAGCTGCATTGAATCAATGTATCTCTATGGGGAACGTTCAGCACCTACAGAGTGTGGAGGCCCTGAATGTAGGTGCACTGACACAGGAAGCACCTCCAGTGACCGTCTGAGTGACTGTCACTAGCAGTGTCACTTTGAAGCAATGTAAACACTGCCTTTTCTCTGAAAAGTCAGTGTTTACGTTGAAAAGCCTGTAGGGACATGCTATAGACACCAGTACCACTACATTAAGCTGTGTGTGTGCGTCTGCTAGTGAGTGAGCTTGCTTGCATGCGTGTGCCTGCTAGTGAGTGAGCTTGTGTTTTTATGTCAATGAGCTGATGTATATCAGTGAGATTGTTTGTCTATGAGGCTGTCTATCAATGAGCTTGTGTGTGTCATTGAGAGGTCAGTGAAATTGCCTGTGTCTGCATGTGAGTATGCTTACTGTATAATTAAATGTTTTACCCTGAAAGGACCAATATTTTATATTAGAAAAAGCAATATATATATATATATATATATATATATATATATTACTCAATCATCTGTCATGGCAAGATATAGCCTTACATATTACATGCGACAATATATGGCGCAGTGACTTATGGGGCTGGCACAAATTTATTTTCCAGGGCTGCGTATCCCCAGTGGCTAAGGGGCCTTCCCAAATCTGTGTGCCTGTCTTAGAGTGGCTGAAGGAAATCTGCAGAGGCTCCAAGAGCAGAGCATCTGCCAGCAGATCAGCACAGCCACACGGAGCATGCAGACATCCTGTAACACTAATCAGGGCAGCTCTGTGTGGCTGGTTCTGCAATAAGTAACATCATGCCCTACCCCTCTGCATCCACTACAGCCGTAAGCCAGTCGGTACTCCCCTGCACAAACTACAGCCCCTACCCTTCTGCACCCATTAAAGCCCATACCCCTCTGCACCCACAACAGCCCCTACCCCCTGCACCCACTACAGCTCCTACCCCCTGCACCCACTACAGCCCCTACACCAGGCACCCTCTAGACCCCTATAACCCCTGAACCAACTACAGTTCCTACCCACTGGAACCTTCTAGAGCCCCTATAACACCTGCACCTTCTAAAGACCCTACCCCCCACACTCACTATGACGCTTACCCCCCCACGTCAAACCCATTACCCCCTGCAACCACTACAACTCATTACTACTGCCCCCACTACAGCACCTATACCCACTACAGCCTCTTTCCTATTGCCTCCACTACAGCCCCTATCCCCGCTCTACTTTCTAAAGCCCCTATACCTGCTCTATCCACTACAGCCCCTATCCCCGCTCCATCAACTGCAGCCTCTATCCCCACTGGATCCACTACGGTCCCTGATCCTCACCTGCAATTACTACTAATGTTATTTAGTGGTGGTAATTAATAGTGCATTCATTCACACCTACTCTCCTACATTCACTCTCCGTACATATAAACCCCTGCATTTACAGACCATGCACACGTATGATCGATCCTGTGTTCACACACTCTGACTCTTGACACATGCAAACCTGTCACACACACAAACTTCATGCAAATATAGCCTTGCCTTTACATACACATACAGACCCTCAATACAAATATGTCCCTGCATACACACTCTGGTGTCATGGACATACTTGAATGAATAAAAAAGCACAAGCAGTTAAAGGGACACTATAGTCACCAGAACAACTACAGCTTAATGTAAGTAAATTACCTTTTTAACATGACAGGTAAGGAGGGCCGGAGACCTAAACGGCTGTTTTACTCATATCGTGCCAGAATTACACATTTGTATTACTGACACACTAGTTTTCCTTTAAGGTGGCTTAACACCTGGTTTGTAATTCAAGATGCAAAATTTGGAGCCCTGCATATCTCATACAAACACATTGCCACAATTCACAAATACCCCCTTATACATACTGCCATATTGCGCAAATACACATTTGTACAGCATACTACCCTATTTAAAAAAAACAAAAAACAAGAAAAACATGTATCTAAATATACTCTGCATTCACATATCATGACACAACACACAGACATACATACACCAGGGCTCACAGTGACGATACACACAGAAACATACATCACTTTACATGTACATACAATCAAATACAAGGTACATCTACACCAGCATATGTTGGTCTGCAGGGGACCCAGGTACTAATTTTGCCTGGGGGGCCAGGCAACTGTTAGTCCATCCCTGATATTACTAAAATATGAGGAGGTGAATTAAAGATAACTGTTATTAAAAGATTCATTAAGCATAACCCTAAACCAAACGTTGGGATCCTGGAGACATTCGTAAGCCTCACAATGATATATTTTTGCTGTCTTCAACATTATGTATTATCAGAAAAACAGGCAGATCATTTAATATATAAATAAGCATATATCATATTAAAATAGACAGGTCTCATTTTACAACTATTCAGTTTAGTGTACCACTGTATACTGTGAGTTATATCCTGTAAACCACAGGGATGCATCATACTATGAACTGTGAGTTCCTAAATCTAGATGCAGCACTGGTATAGTAAAGATCCATAAAATGTCTAGCTAGCATCACCTTTTAACCCCAATTTAACCCCCTCCTGGTTGAACTAGGTTTACTACATTTTTACAGATGCTTCTACATGTTGGCAACCTGTCCCAATATTTTATCTTCTTCTTATGCCTTCATTAGAGAGGAACAAGCTGCTAGAGAAATGGAACCCAAAGTGAGCATAGCTACAGCCTCTGGGGGTAACCTGACATTAGAAGGGCTATTCACTAAAATGAGAATTGCCAGAAATTAAAAGTGAATTTCAAATGTCAGATGCAAATATTCTGAATCTGAAAGTTGAAATATACAATGCATTATATTTCCAAAGTTGTCTTATGCATTCAAAGGTATGTTATTTATTTTTTTCGTAACAGGAAGCAGTAATTCAAGATGGAACCATTGCCTATGAAAACTGGATTGTAACAGGAAGCCCAGTCTACAGATATTTTTGGGTATATGAGGTTTTAAATCCTGATAAGGTATTGCAAGCAGAAGTACCACAACTAAGACAAAGAGGTCCCTATGTTTATCTGTAAGTAAACATTTGTTAGAGACGCAAACTCAACCATTGCAAATTGTGTTTACAGGTTAGCTTTTTCATTGCTTAGTTCCAGCAATGTTAACTGTACATTATTCTGATTTCTATAAACGTCAAATACATGTAAATATTGTCTAATTGCATGCTAATTTCTAAAACTAATATACCAAAAAGCATATTCTTAAAATCTTGAATATTAGTGATACTTGTTTACTATTTTTGAAACATCTATAACAGAGTATGTTATTTTAAACATATACCCTGCTTACAGTACTGGATTATGGGTCTATTGGTCCTAGTGCGGATTATTATGAATATTATATTATATTATATTATAGACAGAAAATGCTAAACTGGCCATACCTCACAAGTGTCTTTTTTCTGGTGGATAATGTGCTGGAGGGATACTTGTAAGCAGTAACAGCTGGTGAAGTTTAAAGATTGTGCGGTACTGCCCCACCGACTTGTTGTGCTCTATGCACTGAACCAACTTGGAATATTGAAACATCATATTAAGATAATACTAATAAAAGGAACAAGCCCACCAATAAAATGATACACATATTTAGCTGATAACAGTATAACAGAGGGACCCTTGACTTCCAGTGATGCTGCCCAGCTCACTCCCTCACATACTTTTAGCACTGTACCCATTTTTGTTTTTAAGGTTATATTTTAAGCCTACACATACCATATGTCAATCTCTCCTATCCATCTATCAACCCAGTCTTTCTGTCCATCTTACATGCCCTGGAGTTCTTATCTCCTCTCTTTCTTGAGTTCTAAACTTTGAATCACCTCTCCTTAGGGCTCACTTTTCCTCTCCTCTCTTTCCCTTCTTACTAGTAGGCAGAAGCTGCTCCCAGTGTACAGTCAGGGATGAAGAAAAAAGTGGGTACAGTGAGTGTAGCAGAATAGGGGATATGCCACATTGCCACATGATGACAGGAGAATGTTGGGTTGTTAGAGAGATAGAAGCAGCTAGAGCATTTGCACAATGCATAAAGTCAGCTTTAAGTTGATTATTTTAAAGCCACCTAGTGCACAGAAGTTTTGCCTCCTGTGTCTCTCCCAATCCTTACCCATTCTCCAATCCCTCTGCACAAAATGTAAGAGCACGGGCAAGAGAGGAGTGGTAAATCAAAAAACAATTCCACTTATGAAAACCAAAGGGGAAAATCTTGACTAGGGAATTTTGATAATGTCCTTATCAACTAATATAGCCCTCTTTATTCTGTTAAATTATCATTATTAGCAACAATTTCTTTAGACAGATAATTTCATATTATTGTTGGTGAAGGCTCTGAAATACAAACATGTTATTGCCCTCTCCCAGCCCCCACCCATTGGCTGCAGATGGGGGGGGGTATAAAAAAAAAAAAGAAATAGGTGTATGTGCGATGGTTCAGTCCCCCAAATGTGTGTGCCTTCCACAACCCCCCAGTGGCTATAGGTCCCAATGCCCTTAGCCATCCTGTAATTAACCCCTTAAGGACACAACGTCTGGAATAAAAGGAAATCATGATGGAATATTTCCATCATGTGTCCTTAAGGGGTTTAAAAAATCCCTACACACCCCTCACCCTTATATTGGTAAAGGTTAGCAATAAATCTGTCTGCTGGCTGCTCTTTGTTTAGTAGACATGTCCCCACCTGCAGCATGGAGGCAGAAAGTAGTTTTTTAAGACTCTCTATTTTAATACAGGGGTTTGCAAAATCAGGACATTCTTAAATATGGTGAACAATTTCTGTGTTTTGCCGTCAAAATGACTCTGTACTGCACCAAATGGTTTGGCCTTATTTGGTATAGGACCATTTAGACTTTAATGCTAAAATAAATGATTTGGAAAAATACTCCAACTCCGTTATTACTTGGCTATCTAGATATGAATATTGCAATTTAGTTTTCAGTATATCGCAATTCACTTTTTAGTAATTAAACCCTATTTTCTCTTAACATATGCTGCACTCATAAGTGCCTGCCATCAGATCAGACATGTCCTGTAAGAAGTTCTCTTCAAACTCCCTTCTTATTTCTAAAAAGTATAGGTGTTTGAGGTCGCATGTTCTTGTTTTGTTGCAACTTTCTCAAACCATGGAAATAGGGAATGTTGTCATTACTGTACAAATATGTAACAGCTATGGGAATATGAACAATGGGCTAATTGTATTTGTGCTTCTAGAGTTAATTGTATCATTAATATACACTCTACAAATAGGATATCACAAGTTAATCACCTTATATAGAATATGTTTTTCATTGTAAAGGAATGTAAACATTTGCCTTTTAAATCCAACTTACATTCCCCTCAGCTGGAAAGTCAGTTTTTTTCTGGTGGGCTCTGGTCAGTGATCCTCTGCTGTGATCTGCCTTCCCATACTACAAAAGGGTGGAGAGCAGGTATACAATTGGGAAGAAGTGAGTAGAGCTAAAGAGACACACAAAGGTGCATGGGGAAGGGGACAATGACACACAGAGGAATTGGGGAAGGGGACACAAAGACACAGATGAAGTGGGGAAGGGGACACAGACATACAGAGGAATTGGGAAAGAGGACACAGAGACACAGAGGAATTGGGAAAAGGGGACAAAGACACACACACACAGAGGAATTGGGATTATATATCTGGAAAATAAGAAATGATAGAACTTAGTTTTGTAATGATTGTAATCTTTTGTTTTTTTTTTTGCTATCTTGTAATAATGAAAAAAGGGATTTATTCAAAAATGAAAGAGAAAAAGTAAATGAGCTATTGACCAACCACTCACCCATTTCACTCTGACAAGAACAAAGTTTCCTACACAGCCAGTATGTAGCGTCGGTAACAGTCCTCTAAAAAAGGAAAAACTGTGCCATTGCAGCAAGAGTCATTTAATTTGAAAAAAGGTTTAAAAAAATAAATTAAAATAAAAGGATGGGACTGGTTGAATCTATTTTTATCAATGACCTTGCTTAGGAAAGAAAAAACTTAGATCTTTGTTATTGAACTACACTTCCCAGGCTTCCCCCATTTGTCACACAGATAAGTGAGAGTAAACACACAGGATCACTACTAGTCTACCTTCCTCAGTAGCTGAAGCAAAAATGTCTGACAAAATTCAGCTTGGAAGTATAGTTTTATTACTCCTCCTTTTTTCAATTCTATTAGTCACTACTTTTACTGTTAATAAAATCAACATTTAGTGTTTTTTGTTTGTTTGTTTTTTTATAAAAAAAACTTTTTATTGGACAGGGGATCAAGCCCACATGTTTGGACAGACCTTTTATCCATCATGGGAAACTAAGCTACTTATTTGCACACACCCAAAAAATCTTTTCCATTCCATCCCTCTTTTTTCTGGTGCCAGGAGCAACACTTTGAGTCAGGAACTAGACCAAATATGTTCGGTTCTCTGAGATTTTGTCACATGGTGATTCAGAAATCAGAATTGTCTTATTTGCCCAAAGTCTGCAGAATTGCAGTTTGGCACAAAACGAATCTCTAAGTCAAGTTCTAAGCATACTACAGGGTTTCAATTCATATTAATTTAAATTTTTAAATTTTAGTCCACTGCAGTCTACCGTTTTAAAATTTGTTTTATCCGATATCCATGTACTAGTTATACAGCCTATTTTTCAAATTATTCTTATTTTTCATTGAAATAATTAAGAGATTGGCAATATTAGTGACACATTTATTAAAATTAAACGTTCAGTAATTGCAGAAATTCAGACACTAAGTAAATTTAACAATTTAAGCTTAGTCTTAATACAAATATGTTATACTGTTAAGATCAGCTGAGGTGATGAATAAGTGATCAAATCAGCCTTCATATCTGATTGGAAAATGTATAATAATAATTCTGTGACGCAGCTGAAGTGTTCATATCTACTATAAAACAGATAAAGGTCCATTGCTTCAATGGCCATAAATGTAAAACTTCTAATACCTTGGAGCTCTCTAGTTTTTAACCTCTGTATATTTTTAATCTTCTTCATCTAAACTATGCTTACATTATTTAAATTTAGGGAATTTTCAGGCAACATGTGTTCCATGTCAGCCGCATATTAAGGCACTCCGTTATGGCGCCAGTTGGTGCTCCCCATTATACAGCGTATTTGTGCTCTTATCTGTTACTAGTTGCTTGGTGCTGGGCATCTATTTTGGCAACTAACTTTTAATCGCCTCCCACATTTTCCCCATCATTTTGTTGGAACTTAAGTCTCTGAAGAATAATCTAATTATTTAATTATGTAAATTGCATTAATTGCTTTTGCCAATAAATAGTTCCTGCCAGTTGATTTGATTTGCAAAACCCATCTAATTTCTTTTTTTATAGTTAATCTCAAATTATATCATGTTATGACCACTATTTCCCAAGTACTCCCTAACTTGAAGGTTTAAAAAATAGGTCAACATTATTAGTTATGGCAGGATCAAAACAAGCATCTATTGTAGTTGGTGCTAATCCTGTATCCCTTAACTGTACTGCTAGTTCATCTGGCCCAATCAATGTCTGGACAATTAAAATCTCCAATGATTAACTAATTACTTACTAATTATGAAGCTGGTATTTAAACATGTTGTTTCAAGTCATAATTTAGAAAGTGTTTGTCAAATTAAGTAGATGTTGAGTAATACAGCAACAAAAAAAGTTAAAGGCAGAGAGGAACTATATAAAATACACATATAAAATACTTTCCATGTTCAGTAGAGTCATGTATGAGGATGTGTCTCTAGTTTTATCAACACTTTATTTAAGAGACTGGCATTTTAAAATATTAAGAGAGAATACTTTGTAAAGTAACCAAACCAGAGATTATATGCGAGGTTTAACTACGAATGCGAGGCACAAATATACTATGGGCGTCTATACCTTGCAGATAAAGTGCGTTGTTTTTTTTTTGTTTTGTTTTTTTTTAACAAGGAGCTTTACTTTAATATGAACATTTACAAATAAAGCGGACTAACATAGACATATATTTTATTTCTTTCATAGGGTCCGACATTTACCTAAATTAAATGTGACGCAGCATCACAACGGCACTGTAACTTTTTGGCAACCAAACGAAGCCATCTTTCAAGAAGACAAATCAAATGGCTCAGAACATGACATATTTACCGTGTTAAACCTGGCTGTTGCTGTAAGTTAATCACATACAAATTATTGCAAATGTATTCCAATTATTTTGCAAATGTGCACTAGAACTACATTTAAATAAGTTAATCACAAGTTAATTATATTGAAAAACAAAAACTATTTCAAGTATGTAATTTTAAGTTTTGGATCTATATAAATTGTATATGTATATACGTTGATGTGTGTTCTAAGCGCTAAACAAAACGTTATGTAGTCAGCAATACATTGAACAGATCCTCATTAAGTAATGATGGTTTCTGAAAATATACCAACCTGTTCCTAGGTCTAAATCCACAAGCAATGAAGATAGGTTGTAGTAGGTATGGTGCTTAATATTATTTGTTAATGTTGCAGTGCAACGTTATCTGCAGGAGTAGCAAAAGAAGGCTCTTGGGCTGCAGCACTGAAATAAACACACACAACAACATTGATGTATTAAATGCATAAAAAAATATATTGTTGTTTTCGAAGTCACGAAACATTGCAATGAGACCAGCAGGGTCACCATCGTGCGGTATGGTGATAATCTGTTAAGATGCCTGGCCAGATTTTGGCCACACATTATGCTCTGTAATGCTATGTGTGCTGATTGGGTTCTGGACTGCAATGCAGATCTGTGATGGTACGGCCCCTTGTACAATGGCACAGGCTGCCCCAATTACACTCTAGCGTGGTCAGACTGAGAGAAAGTCAGGTCTAATCACTTTTTCCCAGAGCTCAATATTTTACATTTTGTGTGTATCTCTTTTAGTGTTTTTGTACGTGTGTGTGTGCCTGACAATATGGCTGTAAATGGTGGCGATATGGCTGTATGTAATATCACATCCTCTCTCCACTCACTCTACATGTCGCTTGCTTGGAAACCTGGACCAGCCCCTACAGACTAGGCAGAGGAACATGAAGATCATATATTATGGCCTTGCTATGCTTCCATTGGGGACCATTTGAATGGGGGGCACTCAAGAAGGTGATGGCACAGTTGATTAAGGGGAAACACACAAGGCATTTAGCGAATAAGGAGAAATACAAAGTGCATTATCCTACTGCTATTAACCCCTTAAGGACCAAACCTCTGGAATAAAAGGGAATCATGACATGTCACACATGTCATGTGTCCTTAAGGGGTTAAACATGTGAGCAATGCAACTAGCAAAAAATGAAATGCACAGGAGTCAGACAAAATGATGCCAAAATGTTTGCGGTGTAAATAATTAAGGAACACTAAATCTCTAAACCACTTAGACATGCTGAAGGGCTTTAGGGGATAATGGAACATTCCAAGCACCATAATCTCTACTGCAGCTGGGGGGGGGGGGATACCTAATGCGCATGCACGGCAATGGCTGCGTGCATTAGACTTTCCCATTGGAAAGCATTATTCATTGCTTTCCTAGGGGGGAAATCTGATGCTGGAGGTACAGGAGAACGTCCAGTGTCAGATAATGGACCAAAAGTCTGTTTAGATTCCGGAAGTTAGACAGCCACAGAAGCCAGACTTAGAGCTGCAATGTAAACTTTGCAGTTCTCTGGAACTGAAATGTTTTACATTGCAGCACTAAGTGCAAAAGGGTCACAGCCCCCAGACTACTTCAATTAATAGAGGCATAAATTCTCGGGATGAGAATATCATTGTGCCTCTCTATAAATCACTGGTAAGACCACATATTGAATATGCTGTGCAATTTTGGGCACCTGTTCTAAAGAAGGAAAGGTTTTCTTTACAGTAAGAACTATAAGGATATGGAATTCTCTGCCTGAAGAGGTGGTTTTATCAGAGTCCATACAGATGTTTAACCCCTTCAGGACTGCTGACAGTTCAGGACCGTCAGCGGTAAAACGTGCGTTTGGACCGCTGGCAGTCCTGAACCGTCATAGCGAAAAACGGGCTACGGAAGCAATCAAAGATCGCTCCTGACAGTATAACGCTGTAACTATCTGCCAGACATCCCAGGCAGATAGTAACAGCCAATTGCGGTGTGTGAGCGATCCGCAATCGCTCACAATTGTCTGCTGTCAAAGTGGGTGTTACAAACACTCACTTTGACAGTGATCTCTGCCCCTCTCTCCTCTGTAGCGTTTTGTGAGGAGAGACAGAGATCGTGATAGTTTGTTGCAGCAGTGTTTAGTGACCATCAGAAAGTATCAGTATTTTATTTTAAAAATCACCTTTTAATCCCTTCCCTGCCAGATCTGTTACAGCAGTGCATTTGTACTGTCTGTATTTTATTTATTTTTTTCCATTGTTTTGTTTTAAAAATCTGTGTCTTGGTCTGTCTTGGTCAGTCAGTTTCCTTCCCCCAAATTTCCATTAGATTTTTGTGACAGGAGTTAGTTTAGGGATTGCGGTTTAGTCTGTTTTAGTAAAAAAAGTAAAATAATTTGTGTTTGTTATTTGTTTTAGTTGTGTGTAAAACATGCAGCGTGTGTATAACTTGCAGGAGGCATATGTCTTCTTTGCGTCAGACTCTGACGCCACTGACACTGCGTCAGATTTTGACCCAGGTCAGTTTTCTGACATGTCTAGTCAAGACAACATGTCATCTGTGTGTGAGCCGGCTGAAGAAAGAAGCTGTGCTTCCTCTGCTATGCCGAATGTGGAGGAGGACTGGGTACCTCCACCATTAGCCGAGCCAACGTCCCCCCTTTTAGTGCCAACGCAGGCATTAATGTTAATGTGGATGGCTTCTCCCCAATGCAGTATGTAGAACTATTTTTAGGGGATACCATCTGGGAGGAGATTGCTTTCCAGACTAACTTGTATGCTACCCAATTTATTGATAACCATCCAGGTATACAGTCAGGGAGCATGACTGGCATCCCACAGATGTCCCAGAGCTTAAAAGATTCTGGGCTCTTACAATGCTCATGGGCAGTAGCGTACACATGACCCATGGGGCCCCGGTGCAAAAATTGATCCGTAGGCCCCCTCCCCCCCCGCGCGCTTACTCGGCGCGGGTCGGGGCCGCAACACATGGCGGCGGGCACCTGGTCGCAGGGCTGCGACCCCACGAATGCGGTATACTGCACACACACCTAAAGGACCACTACAGACACCCAGATCACATCAGCTCAATGAAGTGGTCTGGGTGCCAGGTCCCTCTAGTTTTAACCCTGCAGCTAAAAACGTCTCACTGACAGCCGCTAGAGGCGCTTCTGCGATTCTCACTGTGAAAATCACAGTGAGAAGACGCTGGACGTCCATAGGAAAGCATTGAGTAATGCTTTCCTATGGGCGGTTTGAATGCGCGCGGCAGGGGGAGGAGTGGTCACCAGCGCTGATGGAGACCGGCACTGGAGAAAGGTAATTGGCTGAAGGGGTTTTAACCCCTTCAGCCAAGCGGGAGGGGGGTCCTGAGGGTGGCGGGGACCTAATGACCCTATAGTGCCAGAAAAATGAGTTTGTTTTCCTGGCACTATAGTGGTCCTTTAAGTGTGAGGGGCTATGTCTTAATAAGTAGATGAACCAGCTTAGTTAATTAGTAGATGAACTAAAAAAGTTTTACTTTTTTCAGACATTGAAATGAAGGGGAAGTTTTCCTGGAAGGGGGAAAGGGGATAAAACTTACCTTTTTCCAGCGCTGGGCGGAGAGCTCTCCTCCTCCAATCCTCCTTCTCTCCTCCCCGTCGGCTGGCTGCGCGCGCATTCAGCCAGTCACATAGGAAAGCATTCATAATGCTTTCCTATGGACGCTGGCGTACTCTCACTGTGAAAATCACAGTGAGAAGCACGCAGGCGCCTCTAGTGGCTGTCAATGAGACAGCCACTAGAGGAAATAGGGGAAGGCTTAACTCATTCATAAACATAGCAATTTCTCTGAAACTGCTATGTTTATGAAAAAATGGGTTAACCCTAGCTGGACCTGGCACCCAGACCACTTCATTAAGCTGAAGTGGTCTGGGTGCCTAGAGTGGTCCTTTAACCCTGCAGCTGAAAACATAGCTATTTCAGAGAAACGGCTATGTTTCACTGAGGGTTAATCCAGCCTCTGGTGGCTGTCTCATTGACAGCCGCTAGAGGAGATTCCACGATTCACACTGTGAAAATCACAATGAGAATACACTGAACGTCCATAGGAGAGCATTGAGTAATGCTTTCCTATGGGCAGTTTAAATGCGCGCGCGCGCCTCTTGCCTCGCATGTGCATTCGGAGCTGAGAGGCGGCGGGATCCCCAGCGCCAAGGAAGCCAAGGCGCTGGAGAAAGGTAAATGCTGAAGACACACACTCTCACGAACAGACGCATACACACTAGCTAACAGACACACACATTTACTAACAGAGACACACTCAGCGACAGCCATACATACACACTCACTTACAAAACATACACTTTCACTGACAAACACACACTAACAGACACTCAGTAACAGACACACTAACACTAACACACACACACTAACATGTTTTTGTTTTTTTAATTGAATCCCCCCAGCCTCCTTACCTTTTGGGGTGCTGGGGGTATTCCCTGGGGTCCAGTGGTGCTGCTGCTGGGCTGCTGGGCTCCTGGGCGGGTGGGCTGTTTGGGTGGCCGGCGCGCGAGGGAGCACTTTCCCCTCAGTGCTTCCTCTTCCGCTCCCTCGCGCGCCGCGTAGGGATGCCGGAGCCGGAAGATGACGTCATCTTCCGGCTCCGGTATCAGTGCGGTGCGCGAGGGAGCGGAAGAGGAAGCACTGAGGGGAAAGTGCTCCCTCACGCGCCGGCCACCCAAACAGCCCGCCCGCCGGGTGTCAGCAGGGCCAGCCTCGGGGGGCCCTGAGGTGGCCACCTCCTGGGTCCACCAGGAGAAGAGGCTGGCCCTTTGGCTACATACCGGGTCGCAGGGGCGGCCGGGCCCCCTGGTGGGCCGGGCCCCGTGGTGGGCCGGGCCCAGTCGCAGCCGCGACCCTTGCGACCCTGGTGTGTACGCCACTGCTCATGGGGATTATAAAGAAGCTATCGATTTGGTCATACTGGAGCACCAACCCAATAATGTCTAGTCCAGTATTCTCCCAAACCATGCCTAGAGCCAGATACGAGTTACTGCTAAGATTTTTACATTTCAGTGACAATACCCTCAGTCACCCTAGAGATCACCCCCAATATGATAGGCTTCATAAAATACGCCCACTGCTAGACCATTTTCAGGACAAATTTTCTGATGTTTATACCCCCCAAAATTTATCCATAGATGAATCACTAATGAAATACAAAGGGAGATTAGGGTTCAGACAATACATCCCCTCAAAGTGCTTTAGGTATGGCATAAAACTGTACAAACTGTGCAAGAGCGAAAGTGGATACACGTTTGCCTTCCGTGTATATGAGTGTCCTGACTCCCTGGGGACAAGTGGGAAACTTGTATGGGACCTACTAAACCCCTTGTTTAATAAAGGTTACCACCTTTATGTGGATAATTTTTATAGTAGTGTCCATCTGTTTAAAACGCTTTATGGTTTAAAGACACTGGCCTGCGGCACTGCCAGAAAAAATTCCAAAGACTTTCCACGATCTCTCATCAACAATGCAAAGCACTTCGCAAAGCTGAAATGCTTGGACTAAAAATTTATGGACAGGAAGGATGTCAACATGCTAACCACCATCCATGACGAACGCATGTCAGACGTCTCTGTCCGGGGCAGAGTAGAGTCCAAACCGGTTTGCATCAGGACATATAATAAGTACATGGGGGGTGTTGATTTGGCTTATCAGCTGATGCAGCCATATCTTATTTTATGAAAAACCAAAGCATGGTATAAAAAGGTGGCTATCTATCTGATGCAAATAGCAACCCACAACTCATTTTTGCTTTTAAAAAAAAATAATCCAGGGAAAACCACCTTTCTCCAATTTCAGTTGAAAATAATTTCTTTAACAATTTATGGAGATGGACAAGTTCCAACAATGGTGCAAGCTGAGTCCAGATCATTTTATTTTTAAGTTACCGCCAACTGCTAGAAATCCCCCCCCCCCCAGAAACGTTGCCGGGTCTGTTTTAAAAATGGGAAAAGGACAGACACCCCTTTTCACTGTCCTGATTGCCCTTCGAAACCAGGACTGTGTGTAGGAACATGTTTCAAGCTGTACCACACAGAACAGTTGTAAGAAGTGTTCCTGAATTTTTATTTTATTTTTTGTTTCTTTGGAAAGCAGACATTTTTTGTTAGTCAGTTTCCTTCCCCCAAATCTCCAGTTAGATTCTATTTGCAGGAGTCAGTTTAAAGATTGCTGCTAAATGTACATTTGCTACCTGCACATTTAGTCTAACAAGTTTTCTGGCAGTAACACATAACCAGCTGGCCAAAACCAGATGACGTGTGCATAAAAAACAGAATAAAAAAATTACCACTACACTTTCTCTGTTTTGTGGGGGGGCAAAATGGTTGGGGGAAAGAAGTCAAAACACCTCATCTTCTATAACCTTTGATGTCTACTTTATAAAAATATATACTATAAATACTGTCATGATGGTAACATGGGGGTGGGTGCAAAATATGTCAAACTGAAGATAGACCAAGCATACCTATATATCAAGTTGAAAAACTGACATGTACAAGTTCTGATTGTTGCCTTTGGCCCCCAAACAACCCAGTAACCCTATATATGGGGGGATCACTGTACTCGGGAGATGTTGCTGAACATATTGGGGTGTTGTTTGGCAGTGACACATAACAGGATCTGTTAATTCATGCCTAAAGTACAATGTGTGTGACAAAGAAACAAAAACATTGGCTCAAATGGGACATGGGCGCAGGTTGATTACATGTCAAAATTCCAAGTTGGGAAACTGATAAGCGCACCTGCCAAACGTGGCCTTTTAGCCCCCAAAGAATCTGACAGGCCTATGCATGGGTGGTATCACTGTACTTGGGAGATCTTGCTGAACACATATTGGGGTGTTGTTTGGCAGTGACAAATAACAGGATTTGTTAATTCATGCTTAAAGTACAATGTGTGTGAAAAAAACAGAAAAAAATGTACTAACTCAATGTTTGACAAAGCCTGGTGGTACAATTAGTGCATGGAAAGTGTTAAAATACCACCATGTGAAATACCCTAGGGTGTCTACGTTTCAAAAATTTATGGTTTGATGGGGGTAAAATACATTGGCCTGCTTCAAAAATGTCCCAAATAGGACATGCATGCAGGTTGACTACATGTCAAAATTCCAAGCTGGGAAACTGATATGCGCACCTGCAAAATGTGATTGGCTTTATTTGCACCCAGATTGTGATGCCAAATGTTATTGACATGTGACTTTTCTGTTATAAGAGCATAGCCACATACACTTGCATTATTATAATCTGTTCAACCACGTGGACCAGCAATATATAGTTTTGCGTAGAAGAATGAAATAATAAGAGTAGACACATTATAATTTGCAGTTAACATCTATGATTAAGATCAACTTAAACATTTTTTCATTAGTGACCATAATTTATTTTTTTTCTTTTAGGCTGCACCGGACATGTTTTCAGGTCTTCTGCCGTTAGTGAATGGTTTTATTAATCGTTCTAATTCCTCATTGTTCCAGAACAGAAGTGTCAGAGAAATACTGTGGGGCTACAGAGATCCATTTTTGGAACTAATACCAAATGCTCTTTTAGCAGATAAAACAACAGGATTATTTTACCCAGTATGTACTATTTTTATGTATTATAACCATGGATACAATTCATAATGCTGATTTTCAATAATATAATATTACAAACAATCCAGCAAACAAACATATGAATACATTTTGTTAGTATGGAAAAATTGTACTAGGCAAATCTGATTGATACTGATGCAATATGTCAACTTCAAAAAGCCATGCATCATAATTGCTAGACTATAATGGAACTGCATTAAAAGCCTGTTCCATCATTATATCAATATTTATAGAGATGAGTGTCATTACATCCCTAAGAAAAACAACAGTAACTGCTGCAATCATTATGTGAGCTATAGCAATCTATTGCCTCCAGTAGAAGTACTTAGGTTTAAGGTTATGGATAGAGATGTCGCGAACCGTTCGCAGCGAACTCCGGTCAGTTGACACATCCCGGCCAATCTCCAGCAGACCCTACCTCCCAGACCCTCCTACTTCCTGGACAGCATCCATGTTGAAGGCAGCTTCAACATGGATGCTGTCCAGGAGGTGGGAGGGTCTGGGAGGGGGGGTCTGCTGGAGATTGGCCGGGATGTGTCAGCTGACCGGAGTTCGCTGCGAACGGTTCGCGGCGACCCGTGGCGAACCGTTCGCGAGAAGTTCGCGGACGGTTCGCGACATCTCTAGTTATGGACGCTTAAACATAGAGAAAGGTCTGAGTTGGGGAGTCTCTACGTTGGGGGTGCTTAGCCTTAATGAAGACATCCTGGGTATCTTACCCAACCCTAAATCCCTTTTGCCTTAAACACCTGATAACCCTAAGCTCCTCTAACCGTTTTGTTAAAGACCCCATATTATGCAAACCTCCCTCCTAAACCCAACCACAACCTCAACCCTTAAGCTTAACCAAGTGGAATCATTATAAATAGAACGATTACTGATGTCACTGCACTGTGGATGGTAATTTATGTAGCATATTACATTACAGAGAAACTGAGTAAGAAAAGGAGCAAGCATGCATATAATAGAATTGGAGGTAAAATGGCTTTGTACATATTAGAGGCCAGTTTTGCTAATATTCTAAATAGTATGGAAATGTATTATACAAAGGTAGAAAGGCTCAGTCTTCTGTGTAACCCTGCCATTGGGGGCTGAGTGTAGCTATTTACATATTGATATTGAAAAGCAATTTGGACTATTTTGTGACTCTCTGCAGTACAAGGTTACATAGGGCCCTTGTATTATTATTATTATTACTACTACTATTATTATTACTATTGGTATTTATATAGCACCAGCTTATTCCGCAGAGCTTTACAATAAAAGGGCAGCAACAGCATTCACCACAGATTGTACGGGGGCAGTATGGCTTCTGGGGAGACCAATTAGGAGAGAATAACAGTAATCGATGTGAGAGATTACTAGAGCATGAACAAGCTCCTTGGCAGCATCTTGCATAAGAAAGGGGTGTATGCAGGCAATGTTTTTAAGTTGGAATCAACAGGTTTTAGCAACAGACTAGACATGAGGTGCAAAGGTAGAAGAAAGGCAATTGGTGACACGTTGTAGGACAGCAGGGAGAGGTCAGGGGAGGAGATATATATCTGGGTGTCGTCAGCGTACAGGTGGTAGTGGAATCCAAATTAATTAATGAGTTTTCCAAGAGAGGCAGTGTAGAGAGAGAACAAAAGGGAACCAAGAACTGAACCTTGAGGGACTCCGACTGAGACAGAACGAGGAGAGGAGGTGTTGTTGGAAAAAGAGACACTAAAGGAGTGTTGGGAGAGATAGGAGGAGAACCATGAGAGGGCTGTGTCACAGAGACCAAGAGATTGAAGAGTTAGGAGAAGGAGGCTATGATCAACAGTGTCAAAGGCAGCAGAGAGGTCAAGAAGAATTAGTATGGAGAAGAGGCCTTTGGATTTGGCTATGAGTAGATCATTTGTAACTTTAATAAGAGCTGTCTCAGTAGAATGGAGGGAGCGAAAGCCAGAATTAAGAGGATTGAGAAGGGAAGTGGAATTTAGGAAGTGAGTCATACAAGTAAAGACAAGTCTTTCTAGAAGCTTTGAGGAAAAAGGAAGCAGGGATATAGGACGATAGTTAGGATGGGTATGACAGTAGCATGCTTAAGGGGAGCAGGGACAACACCAGATGAAAGAACAGTTTAGGATGTGGGTTAAGGATGGTACAAGACAAAGGGTAAGAGCTCTGATTAGGTGGGAAGATCAAGTGGACAGGTGGTGGGACGAGAGGAAAGGAGAGGAGAGGAGAAGCACAGCCACCTCCTGTGCAGTAGCTGGAGGTAAGTTTTGGAGGGTAGCGATGGTATGGTCCAAGTGAGGTTGAGATAGAGAGGAGAGAAGGGGGAAGAATTCATTCCTTAACTGTTTAATCTTGTCAGTAAAGTAACATGCAAAGCTATCAGCTGAAAGATTAGTTTGTGGGGTGGCCACAGCAGGGCGAAGAAGAGAGTTAAAAGTATTAAAGAGATGCCAAGGATTGTGGGAGCATGCACTAATGAGAAAAGAAAAGTAGGACTGTTTAACCAGAATGAGGGATTCACTGTATGAGGCACCTGTGATAGGGAGGGGTGCAAAACCAAGGAGTTGGCCAAAAGGATATATAGAGTCACAGCCACTAGTGCTCCAATTACAACTGGAACTACTACTGCCTTTACTTTCCACATCCTTTCTAGTTCTTCTTTGAGTCCTTGCTATTTGTTCTTCTCATATTCCTTCTTCCTGGTGGTATAGTGCTACTACACCGGAAAACCCAAAAAGAGAGGATATATAATGAGAAAGGATTGCGAAAATTAAAGGCAACAGTAGTCCCAGTTGTGGACTCCTATCATAATATACACTGAACAGATCTAAAACTTTTTCTATGTACACAGGTGTGCCTTAGGCTGGCCACAATAAAAATGTGCAGTTTTATCATACAGCACAATGCCAGAGATGTCGCAAGTCTTGAGGCAGCATGCAATTGGCATGCTGACTGCAGAAATGACCACCAGAGCTGTTGCCCGTGAATTGAATGTTCATTTCTCTACCATAAGCAGTCTCCAAAGGCGTTTCAGAGAATTTGGCAGTACATCCAACCAGCCTCACAACCACGTGTAACCACACAAGATCAGGACCTCCACATCCAGCATCTTCACCTCCAAGATCGTCTGAGAACAGCCATCCGGACAGCTGCTGCAACAATCGGTTTGCATAACCAAAGAATTTCTGCACAAACTGTCGGAAACCATCTCAGGGAAGCTCATCTGCATGCTCGTTGTCCTCATTGGGCTCACATTCGATGGCGTCTGGCACTTTGGAGAGGTGTTCTCTTCATGTATGAATCACAGTTTTAACTGTACAGGGCAGATGGCAGACAGCATGTATGGCATCGTGTGGGTGAGCGGTTTGCTTATATCAATGTTGTGGATCGAGTGGCCCACGGTGGGATTATGGTATTGGTACGAAACCAACACAGGTGCATTTTATTGATGGCATTTTGAATGCACAGCGGTACCAGGATTAGATCCTGAGGCCCATTATTATGCCATTCATCCACAACCATCACCTCATGTTGCAGCATGATAATGCACGGCCCCATGTTGCAAGGATCTGTACACAATTCCTGGAAGCTGAAACCATCCCAGCTCTTGTATGGCCAGCATACTCACCGGACATGTCACTCATTGAGCATGTTTGAGATGCTCTGGATTGGCATATATGACAGCGTGTTCCAGGTCCTGCCAATATCCAGCAACTTCGCACAGCCATTGAAGAGGAGTGGACCAACATTCCACAGGCCACAATCAACAACCTGATTAACTCTATGAAAAGGAGATGTGTTGCACTGCGTGAGGCAAATGGTGGTCACACCAGATACTGACTGGTCCTCCCCGGACCCCCCCAATACAGTAAAACTGTGCATTTTAGAGTGGCCTTTTATTGTGGCCAGCCTAAGGCACACCTGTGCAATAATCATGCTGTCTAGGCAGCATCTTGAAAAGTCACACCTGTGAGGTGGATGGATTATCTCGGCAAAGGAGAAGTGCTCACTACAGATTTAGTGTTGAGTTCAGCTCATGAAAAATGGGGGCAAAAACAAAAGTGTTGCGTTTATAATTTTGTCCAGTGTATATATTTATATGTATATGTGTGGTGTATGTGTATATATATTATAGCAGGCTTGCCGGGTCTTGGGTCATAAACAACAGAAACAGTTCTTTCTTCCAATATGAAGAAAGCTTTATTTAGCAATCAGGCCCCAATTGAGCCACACCAAAACATGAAAACAAAAATAAACACCTACTCCACATTGGAGACTAACTAACATAGAGTACACTTTCTATGCTACTGGGCAGCTAAGCTGACCCCAGTAATTTAACAAATAAAAATAAAGGCTTGTAAAATACCTTTTTGTTCCCACACAGTTCCAGCAGTCTTTTTGACTCACAGTCTCTCTGTCTACGCTCCAGTTCTTCACAAGAGAGACTGATTTCCCTCTGCATAGGGTTTATGTAGCTCCCTAATTGATATACTAGAGCAACCTGATTTGAACCCCCTGTAGTCAAGGAACACTGAAAGTGCCATTCTGGTGCTAATATAGCAGCGTTCCCTCACACTGCCACATAATATATATATATATATATATATATATATTATCCTCTTTCATTGGGTCTTCTGGTGTAGTAATACTATAGCATCAGGAAGAAGGAACATGAGAAGATGGACAAATAGCAAGGACTCAAAAAAGAGCTAGAAAGAATGTGGAAAGTAAAGGCAGTAGTAGTCCCAGTTGTGATAGGAGCACTCAGGGCTGCGACTCCAAAGTGGGGGGAGTGGCTTCAACAGTTTCCAGGTGGAACATCTGAGATTACTGTGCAGAAAAGTGCTGTGCAAGGAACAACTAAGATATTGCGCAAAACCCTCATACTCCCAGGCCTGTGGTAGAGGACTCAAGAATGAGGAATAAGTATATACCACCCATTTATATATAAATATTTATACTGTACATCAGCCCCAATCAAAGGCGGCCCATCCATAGGATGGACTGGTGCAATGGCCTCCCCAGGCTGCCTCTGCTGCATATATATGCAGAAGAGGAAGCTCTCTAAACCTTGGGGCAGACTAATCAGTTGGGTCCTCGGTCAGTGTTCAAGGACCCAACACACGGAGGGGGCCCCTCCATCAGTCTGCCGGGGGAGAGCCTCCAGTCTGCAGCTCTGCCGAGTGCAGAACTGCAGACCATGTGATAGAGGGCTCACAAGCTCCTGCGGGTTATCATGGCCAACCGCTACTGTCTCCCTCAAGTCCTGCTCCACAACTGTCACCCTCACATCCTGCCCACATACTGTCATTCTCACATCCTACCCCAACACAGTAATGTAGGAGACTAATTTTAAAAGAACAAAAACTACCACAAGAGGACATAATCTTAAATTAGAGGGGAAAAGGTTTAAAAATATCAGGAATTACTTTACTGAGAGGATAGCGGATGCATGGAATATCCTTCCAGCTGTAGTGTTAGAGGTTAACACAGTGAGGGAGTTTAAGCATGCGTGGGATAGGCATATCCTAGCTATAATATAAGGCCAGAGACTAATGAAAGTATTTAGAAAATTGGGCAGACTAGACAGGCCGAATGGTTCTTATCTGCCATCACATTCTATTTTTTTATGTTTCTATACTGTCATCCTCACATCCTACCCCCATACTGTCAACCTCACATCCTGCTACCCCCACTGTCACCTTTACATCCTGCCACTCCACCACTGTCACCCTCACATTCTGCTACCCACCACTGTCACCCACATCCTGCCCCCCACACTGTCACCCTTACAACCTGCCCCCTACACTGTCACCCTCACATCCTGCCCCCATACGGTCACCCTAACATCATGCTCCCCACCACTGTCACCCCCACACTGTCATTGTCACCCTCACATCCTGCCTCTCACCACTGTCACACTCACATTCTGCCTTTCACCATCGTCACTCTCACACCCTGCCCCACACACTGTCACTACCACACCCAGTCTCCACAGCCTTCCTACACACTGTCCCCCAACACTGTCTTCTTCCTACACACTGCCTCACTATACTGTCACTTTTCTACACACTGTCCCGCCATTCCAGCCTTCCACAGGACCACCAGGGAATAAAGCACTGCAAAAGAAAAAAGGTATTTAATGGTGGGAAGGCTGATCACAGCCTTCCTACACCTCACAGCCAGTCATCCCCTTCACTATGCTCCCCACACTGTCACCTTCACATCCTGCCCCTCACCCTGTCATCTACATACCCTGCCCCCGTCACCATTACACGTTCAACCTGCATATCCTGCCCCGCTCACCCCACTGTCACCCTGACACTGTCACCGTCACACCCTGCCCCCCACTGTCACTCTGTCACTGTCACCCTCTCACCCCCACTGGCTCACTGTCACCCCTCACACTGTCACCCTCACACCCTGCCCCCCACTGTCAGCCTGACTCTGTCACTGTCCCCCTCACACCCTGCCTCCACTGTCACCCTCACACCATGCCCCCCACTGTCACCCTCACACTGTCACTGTCACCCTCACATCCTGCCACCCACCACTGTCACCCTCACATTCTGCCCCCATACTGTCAACCTCACATCCTGCTAACCACCACTGTCGCCCTTACATACTGCCCCCTACACTGTCACCCTTACATCCCGCCCCCTACACTGTCACCCTCACATCCGGCCCTCATACTGTCATCCTCACATCATGCTCCCCACCCCCAAACTGCCATTGTCACCCTTACATCCTGCCTCCCACCACTGTCACACTCACATCCTGCCTTCCACCATTGTAACTCTCACACCATTGTCACTCTCACTACACACACACACTGCCCCCAGTATACACACACAGACAATACATTCAATACACACACTGCATACAATACACGCTATATCCATGACAATATTACAGACGCAGCATCCACAACACACAGATGCAGCATCCACGACGCACAGATGCAGAATCTACTAAACAAGCACACGCTGCTTCCAGTATACACACAGACATTATATTTAATACACACACTGCATACAACACACACTACATCCATGACACAATAACAGATGCAGCATCCACGACACACAGACGCAGCATCCACGACACACACCCTGCATCCAATGAACACACACACACTGCATTCACTACACACTGAATATGATATACACACACTGCATCCACTACACAGACATTGCATTCACTACACACACTGCATGACATAATGGATGTCGGCGTGCTTTTGGTGCAAGGTGGGGGAGGGCAGCATTTCATTCTTGGACCCAGGCAGCACAATGTCTTGGGCCGGCCCTGGCTGCAATACATACAATAAAATGCCACGTCAAAGCAAGCTGAAGCTGAAAGCAGCAAGGTGAATTGTTCGTGTACAACTCACCTAAGATGTTTTGCCTTGACGTGGCAGGTGAGCTTACACTTAACCCCCTAAGGACACATGACAAGTGTGACATGTCATGATTCCCTTTTATTCCAGAAGTTTGGTCCTTAAGGGGTTAAATGGCCATTGAAGTGATACTAAAAACCTCCAGTTATTTGAATGTGCATTAGGATTTGGGATATTGCGCAAGTAACTATATTCTTTGGTTTCTTTAATCTCTACATCTGTTAGTGTTTCACTATATTATTACCAATACATTACACAACAGGAATAAACAGGAATTTAGATTATTTTTACATTTAATGATATTTGCTGAAATTTATTTTCCTCTATCTTACAGTACAATGGAACCGCAGACGGTAGCTATAATGTGTATAATGGCAAAGATGGTATCAGCAAGGTTGCATTAATTAACAGATACAAGGGAGAAAGGTAACTGTTAAAATACAGTAAAATATACTGTGTTTTGTTCTCAAGTTATTTTACATTACACTACATGTTTATCGTGCATGTGTTATTTTAAATATCCACTAACAATTTGGTACTTCGGAAACAATATTGACCAAGATTTCATACTAACATAACCTGACAATATTTATAACAACGTATAATGTTTAAAGTATTAATTTGCTTAGGTATGTTCAGGATGTCATTTTAGTCTACTTTGACACAAATGTTTCGGTTTAATTATTGTCCAATCAATACTTTCAGAATTGGTATGATGTAATGCTTTGTATATTTACATAAATGATTTACTTTAGCAGTTCCCGTGAGAGAGACATGTAAATTTGCTCCTCCTACCATACATTGACCCTATGAAAAGCAATAATTAATCATTAATATGTACTCTTACACTGAATAGAGTAAACATCACTTGATTGTACCAGTACGATTTTTCACTAAATAATTTAATGAATCAGAATTTAACTTTAATCAGCAGAAAATAAAACATTTAGCCTCATTTATTCAAACTCGAAAAAATATTCCTTTGGAACTTCTGAAGGACTGTCCAAGATCAAGTTTTATTTAAAACGGAAGCCCAGAGAGGCCGTTTATTTGTAATATTTTTCTGACGTGGCATCGTGTGTGTCCAACTCGCCTGGTTACAAATACTTGTCTGTTAGTCCACCCATTGTTTAATGCTGCAGAATGTGTTGACACTTTATAAATATTAATAATAATAATATTGTTTATAACAAAATATCCAGAAATCATAACTGAATGTTTGTTTGTTTTATTACCTTGGAACAATTACTTACAGCCATTTTTCAATTTTGTTAGAACACTCTCATACTGGAAAGATGACTATTGTGATATGCTTAATGGTTCAGGTAAGTTCTAGCTTATGTGTCTGACAATTCAAAAATAGGATTACACATATCATGACATATTCATATATGAGTCAATTTGATTATCATTGTGAAGGCATATCTAGTTTTTACACCACATAAATCACAGGGATAGAATATCAAATATTTTCCGTAATTCATATGATAACTGTGAAGTTATGTTCAGCAACTGCCCTCAAGGTGAGTGGTCAACTACGAGAAGAAGATAAGCAATTTCCTTTCCCACGGTCCCCGTTCTACATGTTTATAAAGGAAGTAAATAAACAGCAAGTCGAGATAAGCTGTATTTTGGATGTCCAGTTTGCTACTCATTCGTTTTACGGAAACAGCAATCAGCTGCTCGTTATTTTAGAATGCTTATTTTGATCTTCTTTTCTTTTTTTTCCTTTTATATTTATTGGTACAGATGCCGCTTCATTCCCACCATCGGTTGATAAAAACAAATTGTTATACTTCTTTTCTTCAGAGATCTGCAGGTAACTTTTTTATTTCTATTCACTACCTAACATATGGGCTGTTGGAAACATTTTTGTAATAACAGACTCCATATCCTTTATTTGCTTTTTCATTTTAGTTCTTGGATTTCATTTGTCATTGACAAAACCAAAAAACCTTTCCAAATTAACATAAGTGTCAGACCAAATAATTATCAGGTCATCTATAAACTTTTTTTATAAAAACAGATACTACGTCTGAATGGATTTAAACATCCAAAGCCCTGGACTTCACCCACCATCCCATATATAAGTTGGCATAGGATGGTGCACCCATCAAAGTCCCACATCTTTGAATGTTATTAACTTCATCAAAAATTAAAAAGAGTGTTTTACAAAGGGTACTGTACTATAAACACATTGAAATTCTTAAGATCAGTAGAATATAGACATATATTAGTGTATAAGTCAAGATGACGGCTAATGGCCGAAAGATCGTTATAATGGCTTATTGAGGAATATAAATAGACAATATACAGGCTCAATAACATATTAGTGGGATGACATTTAACCTCATATACATAAAAATCGATATTTAAAGATAGCTTCACTATAGGATCCTCAGCCAACAGGTGGTATCATTTTTTTCTAGACGCTCAGTAAATGGGGAACAAAATAATTAATGGGTCATATGGTTCCAACTTATGAGCTAAGTCTTTATCTATAACATCCTTCTTTATTGAAACATACATTTCTGGAATAAAGGAAATATTAAAAATATGTATACTTATTTGATTTGCTGTTTTATTATATATTTGGCTTATTTACACACCCCATATTATAAATAAATGTTATGTTATTTTTTTTATTATCAAAAAGTGCTTGGTAGGGATGGGTTTAATGAACACAAACAAAGTCTGATGTATATGTCAGGTGTCTATAGGCACAAAATTCAACCCCTCCCCACCCCCCCAAATATAATTAAAGGCAGATAAAAATAGTTAAATGAATTCATTACATTTTGAGTGATGAAAGTTTAAGGAGTTTAGACATCACTCAATGCTGACCATGCTATAACTGCAAGGCATTTCCTGTCTAGAAAAACACAGACAATGGAGGATTTAGGACAGCACTGAATTTTACACCCTTTATAACTGTAACTGAAGCTCTACTATCAAGTATAGTAAGCTGACTGTGTTACAGAAGACACCGGCCAAGGCTTCTGGAGTTTGTCACTCACCAGCAGCCCACTTACCCTCCAAAAATGCTCATTATAGGTGCTTAAAGAGGCGCCATCTACATGACATGTTCCAGTAGGCAGGTGCTCACTCTGCCTTATTGGAAATCCAGCCCTAGTAACACAAGTATGATGAACAATGCATCAAGTTAGTCTTTACAGTTAAAAGACAGCCCATTTTCTTTTGCAGATCTATATTTGGGGTTTTTGAAAAGGAATATATCTTAAAGGGAATTAAACTCTATCGGTTTGTAGTGCCAAGTTTAGCACTTGCATCTCCAGTTCAAAACCCAGACAATCATTGTTATTGCACAGAGATAGAACTTTCAAGAAATTGCACTGCAGCGGGTGTTTTAGATCTAAGAAGTTGCCAGGATGGTAAGTTATCTAAGAAACAAAAAATAAAATCCACACAGCAGCATGGAGTCATTGATTAATGTGGTTTACATCAAATTAACTATTTTTGTTATCAAGCAGGCATGCATAAAACAGATCTGTTACCCAAGTATAATTATGCTGGGAGGAGTTTTTCGCATTCAAATAAATAGAAGATACAATTTGAGGTATTAAACTTATGTAGACCAATGGTGAATTGGTGAGAAATTGTTACATAATTTTTTTTTAATTGTTAGTATTTATACAACATTAACATAATCTGCAGTGCTGTACAATTAAAGAAAGGGGTGAGGGAAGAACTGCTAGTCATGATTACAAGCCTGTAGAACAACACATTTGTCTGCCAGGAGCCACTAGTCACTGATATCTAGTAATGATAACTAGCCTGTAGAACAACAAATTTGTCTGCCAAGAGCCACTAGTCACTGATATAGTGAATGTAAATATGCTGAAAATGTACACTCACCTCCTGCTATAGTACAGGAAGTTTGAATGGGTTATATTATTCTTACAGTCAGGGAGGGGAATAAAAGATGAATAAATAAGTGAGAAATAAATATTGTATAAACTTACATCATTTTTATTTTTACATTTGTTTGCAAAGTAATCTATAAACAAACTATTCTGATATGCTTATATGCTAGCTATGCATCTATTGATTTAAATAAATGCTATGTTATATTTTTTTTCAATCAAAAACTCCTTGTAAGGGAAAGGGTTAATCATTAATCTTTGAGTCACATTACTATAAGTCTTTATTAATTATATTGACCTAATTACTAACAAGAGGTCATATTTTGGCAGGAAAACCAGTTTTTCTTTCATTGCCTCATTACCTATATGCTAGTGATTTCCTCTTGGACTCTGTGGTTGGCCTGAAGCCCAATAAAGAAGAACATGAAACCTATGTAGACGTAGAACCTGTAAGTTGATTGATAAAAACCAAATGCACAGTTTATGTGTAAAATTAACAGTTACCAAATCTAACACCTATTAGTTGATATCAGTCCAAACCAGCACTAGAACTGACCTTGGGATTAACCCATACGCATATCTGTATACACAGGGCCAGAAACCAAATAGTGGGAATGTAATATTAGATAATTCTGTAAAAAGATACAAAAAAGTTAAATAATAATAATATATATTTAGGTTTTCCTTGGTATATTCTTGGTATATTGATACATTATGCCAGTAAGAGGCCATTTTTATTGTTAATAATATAGTATAAAAATAATACAACCACCACGATGACTAATGGCTAATATTATGCAAGCCAACCTTATAGTAAGAAATAGAAAAAAGAAAAACTGCTAAATCAAAAACCTACAAAACTGTTAAGTGTCCTAATGTGAACAGTGCCAAGGTGATAAAAGAAAAAAGGAAAACGCCTGACATGCATTTCAGTGCCTACCTTTTGTCAGGGCTTTTTTTTGTTATTGTTTTTTTTAAGGGGGAGAAGGGGTATGGTTCTCGCTTTTTGATTTAGGAATTTCCTTTTGTCTATTGCCTACTAGTCAGGCAGGGATGGTTTTCTATCTAGGGGTCAGAGATTTCATTCTCTCATTATTAAGGTTGTTTATTTCCTCTCTTTTCTACAAATGCGTAGTTTAATACTGACAAGTATTTAGTAATTCTCATATGGTCTACAAGTGTGGTGGCTAATATTCTTACATTCGTACTTTATCTTCAGATTTATATCTAATTTTTAGGTAGGGTGACTATGTGAGATTGGCTTATTTTCTAAATGGCAGATTCTATCTGGTACTAATGTGGATCCCAAATTTGCATTTTTCTGGTGACTGAGGTTGCTCCTTGTCTCTCTCTCCTTCGACTGAGCAGTTCAATAGAGATAACCATTCACTACATTAGAGAACAATAATTGAAGGTGGAAGTGTGACGACTATTATATCACCTTTATGTCACATTTACTGTAAATCTATATCTATACTCTGTCTTGATATACAATTGGTAGTGTAGCTCACGTAGCTTAATAGGTGATATTAGATTTTTACTGCATTCTTACCTTCTAAACTTTACTCTGTGAGGGAGTAATCTAATTACATAATACTAGAGCCCATATAGGGGTGTGATTGCCATTATATCAACTTTTACATCTGTTTTAACCCTATACTAGTATTGAGTAAGAAAAAATTACATGACTAGAGGGGCAGGAAAATCCTGACATCAGAGTCAAGAGTGGACTAAATGGGTAGTATAGGTTTTAAGCCAGAAAAGATAAAATTGAAAAAAAAGAATAACAAATTTTTCTTTGAAAAAAAGGGGGTTATAGATATTATATGTGGGTTACAGGGTTATTCACTAAAGTGAGAATTCAAAGTGAGAATTTTTCAATGCTTTCCTATGGGGAGGTCTAATGCCCGTGCTTGCACATTAGGTCTCACCCCACTATAATTGGTAAGAAACTAAATATTTAAATATAAACTTTATTAGTATTTAAAGGGCATATCTACATAATAGTGAAATAGAAAAAAAAGACAAAGTGAAAAACACAAAAGTGACTTGTGAAAGTGTAATATTAAAAAGGAGAAACCTACGGGGTCTGCCTACCTGGCTTGTATATATCAATCACAGCAAGTGTGAGAAAATATACTAATTCTTGATCAACTCAAGTAGATATTATCAAGAAAGACAGCCGTTTAGTAATAAAATGTTATTCCAAGTAGAAGGCTAAAATGTAGCCAATTAAATAGCAGCAGTCTATGGGGATCAGAAGAATAAAGCTTAGCATTAAGATTCAAAATTAGATATATATTGAAAATTAGACATATTAGAAATATTAGAGATATTCAAAAAGGTGAATAAAAGGAATGGGTAGATACAATGATAGAGATAATCAAAGTAAACTGGTATATTAGTAGAGTCTGATTATAAGGAAGAGGAGGGTAGGTGTATAGAGTGATAATTCGCCACCCTCACCTTAATAATTAGACCAAACTCCACTTAAAAGAGGGTGAATATGGGATTTAAAGGGGAAAACAGGAGGGTAGGAGTTCATAGCAAAAGTACCTACCCCTTTCCCCATTACAAACCACCACCCTGGTTATAGTTGCAAAGAAAAAGGTACCCCCCCCCTCCAAAAAAAAAAAACAGCAGTCATCCAGAAGAGCTGGATCAAAATACTCGGCAGCAATGCAGAGTAGGCACATGCCTGTCCAAAACAGCAGGCGCCTACTCTGCTTTCGTATCGGGAGGACCTGGAGGCAGGTGGAGAGATCTGGGAAGCAGCTCCCCTGTCCTCCCGCAAGCAGGCTGTGTGGAGCATTGCCGCGCATTCCCATGGAAACACTCCACACAGCATTGCACAGGAGGACAGGAGATCTGCAGCCAAACACATACCACCACTGGACCACCAGGGCTGGCTGTGTCCCACCCTCCTTCACCAAACGTAAGAAGAAGGGAAGGGAGGGGAGGGATAAAGATTTTATATATATATATATATATATATTTTATGTATCTTTACCATCACCTCCCCCACACACAGCACCTCTACCCCCACACACAGCATCCCTACCCCCTACACACACACAGCACCCCCACACACACATCACCACCTCACACACATACACACACACAGCACCCCCCACTAACACACAGCACCCCCCCACACACAGAGCACCCCACCCCCCACACAGCACTCCACACACACATCACTCCACACACACAGCACCCCACACACAGCACCCCCCCCACACACACACAATCCCCCACACACACCGCATCCCACACACAGCATCCCACACGCAGCACCCCACACACAGCACCACCCCCCCTCACACACATAGCACTCCACACACAGATACACTGCACCCCTCAATGCAGTATGTGTGTGTGTATTCAGCAGTCTGTATGTATTCAGCAGTCTGTGGGTGTGTGTATTCAGCAGACTGTGTGTGTGTGTGTGTATGTATTCAGCAGTCTGTCTGTACTCAGCAGTCTGTGTGTGTATTCAGCAGTCTGAAAAATTTGTATAATTGAACTCTCTGTTGTTGTGTTCTTTTTTTTTAAACAAAATATGTTAATTAGTTCGGACAACTGTACGAGTTGTTTTTTCTGAACTTAAACCTCAGTATTCAGGTTTTAATTGCTGTGTTGGCACTTTGAGGGAAAAAAAGTTGGCATGTATTGCGGTTTGGGTACTCTGGCTCAAAAAGGTTCGCCATCACTGCCCTAGGTTTCACCTTTTTAATATTACACTTTCACAAGTCACTTTTGTGTTTTTCACTTTGTCTTTTTTTTTCTTTTTCACCATTATGTAGATATGCCCTTTAAATACTAATAAAGTTTATATTTATATTTTTTGTTTCTTACCAATTATAGTGGGTTATACAGGTTATATGTGGGTAATCTAATCTTTTTTTGTGAATAGTTACCCATAGTCTTTTGACTTGGGACTCCCTTTTTTCAAAGAAAGATTTGTTATTCTTTTTTCATTTTGGTATTGAGTAAGTTTCACTGCCTATGCAGCAAGATAATTAATTATCCAAACAACAGTTTGCTCTTCTTAATGTTAAGGGCCTTTTTATCATTTCTTTAGGAGGAAATTCCATTTCCCCTGTTTCTTTGTTTGTATGTATTTTTCCCTCCCTTATAATAGATATTGTTTTTATTAATGAATAAGTATATCTTGTTTTTCATGTTTTCTGATAAACTAAGAGGGCTTTAGTATACAGTATAAGGCTTTTTTTTTTAATGAGATTGACTCACATAGTATCATCCATTAATCTCTGTGTTGGTTGTATAATTTATTTTGGGCAGACTAGATGGGCCGAATGGTTCTTATCTGCCGTCACATTCTATGTTTCTATACTATATCATTAACAATATAGATGGTTTCTTGTTTGCATAATGTATCAATAAAGTCAGAACAGAGAGACTATATTGTTTTACTTTTATTTACATGTATAGGTGATCCACCCCAAAGGGAATAGTTTGTTACCAAGGAAAATGTAAATAGTTTTTGTTGGTTTGTTTTTTTACTGAGGTATCTAAAGTCGGTCTCACTAGGTTCACTGGTCTTCTGGCCCGGTGTATACAGAGTCAGAATTCTAAGACAAACCATTTATATATGTCTATTATTCAAAACTATTATGTATTGTTCATAAAATGCTTGTATCTATCTATCTATCTGTATCTATCTATCTATCTAACTATATTTATATATATATATATATATATATATATATATATATATATATATATATAAATAAGAGCACTCATTGGATTTGGCAAATAAATTCAAATAATTGTATTTAAGGTCGCATAAATTCAATCAACGTTTCGACCAACAAACTTTCATTATCAAGATATAGACCATTTGTCAGTCGAAGTGTTGATCGAATTTATGTGACCTTAAAGGGACACTCCAGTGCCAGGAAAACAAACCGTTTTCCTGGCACTGCAGGTCCCCTCTCCCTCCCACCCCCCATCCCAGGTTGCTGAAGGGGTTTAAACGCCTTCAGCGACTTACCGGAGTCCAGCGCCGATGTCCCTCGGCGCTGGTCCAGGGTCCGCCCATGCTCCTTTTGTGACCAAGACCGATTGTGCGTGCGCGGCCGCCAGTGGGGTGAGACCTAATGTGCAAGCACGGCAATGCCACGCACGCGCATTAGACCTCCCCATAGGAAAGCATTGAAAAATTCTGACTTTGAATTCTCACTTTAGTGAATAACCCTGTAAATGTTTAAATATGAGAGTAGTATGTTGTAAAACCCAGGTGGCTGAATATGTTGATTCTGTGACTGGTAATCCTGGTAGCCTATTTCACTTGGTAGCCTATTTCACTTTTTCCTTTTAGTACAACATCATTCACCGTAACATGTCTTACAGAAATACCATATGCTCAAGTATTATAATTTGGAGAAAATATGAATTGTTGTTTTTGTTGTTGTTTTATTTTTACTACAGATAAGTGGATTTACAATGCATTTTGCAAAACGATTGCAAGTTAACATCATGTTCACACCACACAAAGAAATAGAGTAAGTACTGGTGCATGCTAATAATAATAATAATTAAGAAGAAAACATTAAAATTACTACAAACATTTAGAGCGGTCTTAGCTATTCCATATCAGTGTTATAAGAAAGAATTCTTGGAACTCTCGAACATATTTCTACCAAAACTGTAGGTTTCAATCTCTTTACCATAGAGTATGTGAATCTATGTGGGATGGTAAAAAAACAATGTAATGACTGCTATAATTGCTCCTTTCAACCTCACCGTGAATGTGACCTAATATGTTGATAAAACTCTATTGACTTGAGTTACTGTCAAAGGTTTTACTCTTGAAGACCTCACATCTTCTGATTTCATGCAATCTATGCATTTTGACAGTGGGGATCCACTGTCAAGTCCAATGTTTGTGGCTACGTGTGTAATGAGATTAAAATATATATATATATATATATTGCGTAGTTTTATTATTTAAAAATATCTTTATGTTATAAACATACTATATTATAACCCTATTCTATATGCCCCATAGAGAGACCTTTTCTTACCAAGGAAGCTGACAAAAGGAACAATTTTTTTAGATGACTCTAACTCACACAGGTTCATGTGCCTATTTATGGTGGTCTACTAATTACATCTCACTTTAGTCAATGTGGAATAATATCTTCAAATGTATTTCTAATCTTATCTATAACAAGCTTTAATTAAGAATTCTCAATTAGCATTATTGATAATTAAAGCATGAAAGAGAGCATTTAAATTAGTGGAGTCAAAAGACAAGTATAATAATAGATAGAGCTGCTATATAAACAGACTCAACTTTTAGTTTAACCAACAAACAATGCCATAATAGATGTAATCACTGCAAATCTCTCAAAATCTCTTTAAATAACATGCACATATAAATGCTTTTGACAAAGTACTATTAGTGCTGAAAAAAAAAGAAGCCACTTGTATTTCACTCCAACATAACAGCGAGAAATGTCATGTTATGTTTCTCCGGTTATAAAGAGGCTGTAGGATCTGTAAATCTTCATTTTCTTTTATTTATTATATTTCTGCATTATATAAATATAAAAAAATCCTGCCAACTGGTTTCGATATTTAACATGTCATTTAACTCCATTTAGTGAATAACTAATGGTGGTGTTAGTTCTGCGACTGCCTAAGGAGTAGTGTTTACTGTATGAGAATACAGTCTACTTTCTTTCTGGACACTGCTTGAATATACCACTTTTAAGACACCATTTGGTAAATAAGCAACAATGATAGTATTTTTGGCAATTGTAACTAGGATGTGCAATAGAAGCAGTAAAGCAAAGAAAGGAAATTATATACAGAGACATGTTTAGTAAAGTAAAATTAGTTTATTTAAATTAAATGTTAGATGCAATACAAAAGTATGAGCACTTTATACAAATGCTTAATAGATAAATGAAATGGAAAAAAATTATTTAGAATTTTTTTATATTTTTTCTGTAAAATGTAATTTGTCATAGTCTTCATTCATATTACACTTATGTTCTGTCATGATAATTGTATGACATAAAGCATAAATAAAAATTGACTAGCATTCACCATTTTAACTAAAATATGAATTCTTGTTTCAGTGTTATGTCAAATCTCAGTTCAGAGTTCATATTCCCTGTGGTATGGCTGAATGAGGTGAGTATATACATAAAATAAATATAATCAGCAGGGATGTGTATGTATATATTTTGTATTCTGGACGTGTTTAAGGTTTGCAACTTAGGTGTAAATCCTGGTAGCTTAGGTGGGAATACTATGATCATTTGATAGCATATAACCCGCCTATTCTGAAACACAAATGACCGTCATATAGACCGCCAAGGTCTTGCAAGGGCACCTGGAAAAGTTATATCTCTCATTAAAGGGGCATATGAGAAACTGCAATTTTTATAGACGTTGTGTGAGGAGGAGGTCTTTAATCCTTTATTCACCATGAAGGGGGGCATGCACCACTAGTAGAAGGGAAAGGGACACTATCGCATTAAGAAATACAGTACATTTCTACTCTTGGAAGGAACACATCTGCACCACTAGTAGTAGGGAAAGGGACACTATCGCATTAGGAATACAGTTAATGTCTACTCTTGGAAGGAACAGATCATGCAAGCTGCTAGGAATTATTTGATACAGCCAGAAACATACATTTCACTTAGGTTGTTTCTAGACCTATCTGTTTACACCATTTTGAGATGTAGGTGCTCTGTATACTACTGCATGAAAACATGATATCATTTTTTTTATTATTTTCTACCTAGGTGCAACTAACTGCTAACATTTTTCTTTTCATGTTCTAATTCACTTAGGGACTTTGTTTATATTTTCCAGTCAAAGAAGTTATTTACTGTCTCTTCTTTTATTTGCTCTTTGTAACTTTAATAATAATTTTAAAAATGTATCCAAACATAATAAATTGAGGCCTTAATTTCAACATTTCTCCTAAACAATGGGCAGATGCTACTGCTTTCCTGAAGAAAACATCCAAAAAGTTGTATTTTAATTGGCATTTAACCCCAAGCACTTATCCCAATTGTGTAAAGCACGCTCGTCTCTATGCTGGAGGAAGTGTCCTCAGGTGGGAACTGTATGGAACTGTATTCCTTATATGCTGGTCCTGCTTAGTGATATTTCCCTTTAGGGAGGAAGTTTTCATTGCGATAACAGATTGACAAATTTCAATTGCACTTATTCTGTAGAAATGCTTTATTTAACATGTACTACCCAAAATGTAATTAAAAAAAAAAAAAATGGGAACTGTTTTCTTTTCTTTTAATAATAGATTTTTTTATTGCTTAAAATTTAATTATTCATTAACCTTGGTGATTTGGGGTCCTCATTGAGTGGCATAAATGTTTTAAGGGCTTATCTGCATGAATATTTCATAATCGTCTAGAATCTCTTTTTCACTAATTGCTATTTTACCCCTTTCTGTAGTAATTCTTTTTTTTTTTTTTGCACTTTCATTGTTTCATATAATCTGTTATTTCATTACTTAATTTTTACTATATTTTTTCTTTCTAGACTGCAATGATTTCTGATGAGTCGGCAGATGAATTTATAAAAAGTGTGACTTTCCCAATAAAGTTGCTGGAGATAATGCAGATAGTGTTGCTTTGTGTCGGATTTGCTGTTTTTATTCCATGCACAATAGCAATTATTGTCATATGTTGCAAAAAGCCAAAAGGTAAGTACTCTAATGGTTTTATAATCATTTACATATGTGTCTTAGTAACTGCACAAGCATTGTTGTTAAAATATAGATAATCTTAAATAATCAATAGTATGTTTAACATGCATTAAAAAATAAGATAGCATTTTTTCATTGCTCCTTTTGAACAGAAGAAAAATACAGATTTATAACACAATCTGATTGACAGTTTAACTAATGCCATTAGACTTGCTTTGTAATTGTTTGGAAGATAATGACAATTTATATCTTTACAGGAAAAGGAAGCCCCAAAAGTGAGGCAACGTTCTAATGCAAAACAATTCAAAACCACCAAATACTTGAGCATAGAAGTCAACAGAGCCAAATAAAATGTAATAATATCCAGACATGCTAACTAGATCTAGTGAATAGTGATGTCCCGAACGGTTCGCCGCCGCGAACTCATCATTGAGTAAACTTCGACCCTGTACCTCACAGTCAGTAGACACAATCCAGCCAATCAGCAGCAGACCCTCCCTACCAGACCCTCCCACCTCCTGGACAGCTCACTAAAAATGCAGCTTCAAAATGGATGCTGTCCAGGAGGTGGTAGGGTCTGGGAGGGAGGGTCTGCTGCTGATTGGCTGGAATGTGTCTGCTGACTGTGAGGTACAGGGTCAAAGTTACTCAATGATGAGTCCGTGGCGAACCGTTTGTGGCGAACCGTTCATGAACCGTTCGGCGAACCGTTCGGGACATCACTACTAGTGAACGTTGGAAGAAGAATATAATCTGGAGTTATTAAAATTACCTTCATTTAATGTCTTTACTAAACATTTGAACTATTTCTGCAATCTATTTATATATTTTTTAATGTAATCATCATGTAGTTTTGGGAAGAAACCCAGAATGTACTGTAAATGCATTAATTTAATTGTATGTTCCTTGACACACCATACCAGAAAATAACATTTCACACACATCACATCAGCCACCTGTTGCACTCAGTGCTCAAATAATTCACCAGTTCCCTCTGTAAACGTTATTGCTGATAGCTATGTAGTTCTAATTTTGTTTAATTGCAAACGTGTTTCTCTTTAATTTATCATAATTCAACTACAGCTGCAAAATGTCTTGCTGTAATATGTACATTTAATTATAATTTCTGTAGATTTTATGCTCAGATTTCTGTAGGTACCCTCAGTAATGGGCTGCTATTTTTAAATGTAATCTTTTGGATCAACCAGATAAAAATCAATTATATATACTATTCTATATAAAGAGTGTTTCCTGCTAGTATACAACATTCAACTGGGATCTAAGTAGTTTACCCTCCCCTCCCCCAGCAGCATCAGAAAGAATGAGTGAATCTGCTAAGACAAGAAAAAATTGGAGAAATGCGCAACTGGTATTTAAAGTGCATATCCAGGTGCTACCACGTTTATTTGGAGGACAATATACAGGTTGCAAACGTTGCAGGCGATAGTCCTTTATCAATGCTAATGCTATCGCCCGAAATGTTTGCAACCTGTATATTGTCCTTCAAATAAATGTGGTAGCACCTGGGTATGCACTTTAAATACCAGTTGCGCATTGCTCCAATGTTTTCTTGTCTTGGCTATTGTACACTAGAGGAACTACAGTGGGAGTTATTGATGCACAGTTTAACCGCTGACATTTATTCTTTGAATCAGCGAAGGCAGATATTCTGCCTCTATTTGATTTATACAGTGAGTGAATCTGCTATGTGGAACTAGCCTGTGTGCAGCTTTAGCTGAGCTAAGGTCCATGGCCTAGAAATTTCTATAGGCATGAGAAGCTAAGCCCAAGATGCACAGACTGCACAAATAAATTGATATCAGGCAGTCAAAGCTCAACATTCTGATTGACAGCTCCGAGGGGTTTGTGATGCTGCAGGTGTGACAAATTGCTGCAGTTCTCAGTTATTTCAGAGCTGAGAGCAAGTAAAGGTAATCTATGCAGCCACTTTTCTTCTAGATCTCCATTTTTTACCATGACCCTTCATGCTGCTAACCCTTTCATGACAAATTCCCACTATAATTTTTCATGACAACTTCCTATTCTTTGTTTTACAGAATCTCACATAACATTATTTTCCAATAAGAAATATTTCCTACATACATACATGTAGCAAAACAATCCATTATGGTGAACTAATTAAAAAATAATTTAAATAGATAAATAATTTTTATATAAAACCATAATCTGCCTCTTATTGTTAAAAACTAGGTAATGTCTTCAAATTTCATTTTGTTATCTATTTTTGTAGAGAAATAATGAGTTTTATATATATATACATACACACACACACACACACACACACACACTCTGTAAAGCACCAATGTTGCCAAGAAAAGTAATGTTGCACAACATATGCTTAATTATCAGATTTAGATTGCATTATTTGAATACAAAGTACATTTCTTATTCTGTTGAGAGAGATGAATATGTTAGCAATATGTTAGAATAACGTTTCAAATCATTTATCTACAAAAAATTTAATGGACTTTAATAGTGACTTGTGCAGTTTTAACCTCACAGCTTTTGATCATTTGAAAGCTTAAATAAATTAATAAAACAAGGCCATAGTTTGATCTGGTATGTTGTATGTGAATGATAGGAAAAAGATTTACTACAAAATTGCATATTTTATGTAAATGAAAAGACATATTGTTCTTAAATAGATGTTTTTCACATCCCATTGGTTATAGAGAAAAGCCAAATTGTAAAGTTCTTGGAATGTGAATAATTGATGTTATTTTACAAAACGAAACGAAATAACTAATCTTTAAAAAAAATGTAAAGATAATAAAATTTCATTAAAATTTTTATTTTTGTATCTGTTGGCATTTATTTATTTCTCCATTAAATTCCTAAATAACACATTTAGCACATGATAAAACAATGATAAGAGTAACACTAAGAACTTTTTGAGGTTTGGAGAGAGGACAACTGAAGGATGAAAGCTATGAGTTTTAGAAGAATGCACAACACTGAAAATCTTTGGTTTACAGGGTATGGAACTGTAATGGATCTTCTGAGTTCTACAACAGTGCCATTCTAAATGAATCCCTATTGGTGGTCACCTGGGAAAAGTGAACACAAAGCCTAAAATCTCAACATTTTATTTTATCTGAATTTTCTTCATCTTAGTAGTGATATCAGTCACTGAATACACAAACATCATTACCCTTTGCATATTGAGTTACTGAGGAAATGTGATTTTATTAGTGGGAACTTACCACCAATGATTATTTTACAATGGATAGATTGGGTTAGTGGGCAGGTGGACGAGCACCAGCAGAAGACACTGCGGTACATTTGTTTGGTGGCAATGAGGCCAATGCATCACTCCATTGTACAAAAAAAACCTGAAAAGATTTCCCCCCAAGAGTAACTAGTGTTTAGGAGATTCCTGCTTTATTACATGGAGGACATGTTAGTCAGAACTGCTGCATTGGAGGTATAATAGACATATCTCCTTCCCTGTCTTCTGTCTTTCTCTAGCGTGTGGGTAAATAAAGCATATAGGATGTTAGTTGTTTTAGCAGGTAGATGATGTTATTAAAGCCTACTGTAGTGTCTATGTTGGTAGAAGTTTGCTGGCTCTGTTCCCAGCAATGGGGCAAACTGTTTTACAATGGTTTGCCCTCTTACCTATGTCTCTCTGAGCGCTTGGTGTCCTCTTAGGCAGGTACACAACATCCTGCTACTCACTCTTTGGCTGAGAGCATTAGCTGTTTACTCCCAGCCATTCAATGCTCATCTGTGTATTGAAATGTAAAGAATTGATATTAGCCAGCCTGGATAATGATGTTCCAATGAAAACTGAACACTGATCATAACTAGCCATCAGCTTATGATACTTCTGGAGAGTATAATTCATCTGAATAGCATGGATCTCACAGGATTGTTTCATTGCTTGCTTTAGTAAGGAGCCTCTCTTCCAGGAATAACGTGCATAATGTCTTCCTCTTGCTCTGTCCTCATATATGGTCCCATTGACTATAGTACAAACTAATCAACATCCATCAGCCTTAAATAGCCATCCCCCTTATGGCATACCCATCAGCTAGCACCCGCTCTTCTCGTAACTCTATACCTCTATCATAAATAGATGATTATAGATCATACCTTTACATACACAGCATTGGTTTATATAATTATTAGTTGAATAGTTTAATTCATGGACATAAAGCTGAATTGAATAAAAAAAATAAAAAAAATGAAAAACGCTATGACTGTTGCTGTGTCGGACAATATCTCCACAAAAGCACTTTATACCTAAATTTTGCAATTTATCTTTAAGTTCAATACAATTTAGAGTCAAATCAATAAATCTCACAGAAACAAGTCTTCAGATATACAAAATATATCACTCATACGTGTATGGGCCTTCTTCAACTCTTGTCTCTAGACGTGCAATTCAGACGAATTTTGGGCAATTCGGACATTTGGATACTTCTGAAGTTACGAAGTCCCTGAGCGGTGGGTGGGGGCCCTAAAGTAAAATAAGGGGGGGACCTATTGTCCCACCCCTGAGCGGCGGTTGGGGGCCCTAAATACCAACATGGGGGGACCTATTGTCCTCTCCCTGGTCCCCACCCCTGAGCGGCACATGGGGGCCCTAAATTAGAATAAGGGAAGACACCTATTGACCTCCCCCCAGCCCCCGCCCTTGAGCGACGGGTGGGGGCCCTACAGTAAAATAAGGGGGGGTACTTAAAGTTCTCCCCCATGGCCCCCACCCCTGAGCGGCGGGTGGGGGCCCTAAATTAGAATAAGGGGGGACCTAGTGTCCTCTCCTGGCCCCAACGCCTGAGTGGCGAATGGAGGTCCTAAAGTAAAATAAGGGCGGGACCTATTGTCCTTCCCCCCCAGCTCCCACCCCTGAGCGGTAGGTTGGGGCCCTAAATTAGAATAAGGGGGGATCTATTGTTCTCCCCCTTGGCCCTCACCCCTGAGCAGTGGGTGGGGGCCCTAAATACCAGTAAGGAGGGGACCTATTGTCCTCCCCCCCGGCCCCCACCCCTGAGCGGCGGGTGGAGGCCCTAAATAAAAATTTACCCCCCCCCCCCAGGTGACTAGGGGTCTCCAAACCCCTAGTCAACCCCTCCCAAAAATATTAGTAAACCCCTACCTACCCCCCACACCCTAAAAATAGTTAGGGGGGACCAATAACTAAGTACCTGTAAAAAAATAAATAAAAGTTATCATTTGATGTCTTCTTTTTTCCCAAATCTTCCTTTTTCAGCCCCAAAAAAAGCCAAATAAAAAAAACATAATATCCGTCGCACTTTGAAAAGAAATAAATAAATAATACACCGAGCGCAAAAAAAAAAATCAGACGAAAAAAAACACCCTGATGCTGAAAAAGTAATTCATCTTCACCCATGGAGGGCACCACGCAGACTGAGCTCACGCAGACTGAGCCTTGCCCCGCCCTGCAATAAGGCTCAGAGCACTCTGATTGGTTGGTTTAAGCCCTCCAATCAGAGTGCTCTGACAGGTAAATGAAGAGACTGAAAGGTAAGTCTCTACATTTACCTGTCACAGTACTATGATTGGTTAGCTTGAAATCCAACCAATCAGAGTGCTCTGTGTCATTTTACACAGCATGGGAAAGTTCTTTTGAATTTTCCCACGCTGTGTAATTTGACTCATAACAACACTCTGATTGGTTGATTGAGGGTATTTAGGGTATTTTACGGCCCCCAGCCACTGCTCAGGGGTGGGGGCCGGGGGGAGGACAATAGGTTCCCCCCCTTACTGGTATTTAGGGCCGCCGCTCAGGGGTGGGGGCCGGGGAGGAGGACAACAGGTCCCCCCCCATTATTTTACTTTAGGGCCCCCACCCGCCGTATTTAGGCGGGTGGGGGCCGGGGGGAGGACAATAGGCCCCCCCCCCATTATTTTACTTTAGGGCAACCACATGCCGCTCAGGGTTGGGGGCCGGGGGCAATATTATTTTGTATATCAATTAGTTATCTCTATTCTATAATTGTAAAGTACTGTGGAATATGTAGGCACTATATAAATACTCCTACTCTTACTACTACTAATATACTAATATTTCTATAAGAATATATATGTTATATTTTTCCTTCACTAATAAATTAATCCATCTCATATTTTTTTGTGTTATTATTTTAATTTCATAATATATCCAAGATTAGCCCTCTCTCGTGTTCCCTTTTATTATTTTTACATTTACAAAGCTATATAAAACAATATAATTAATATGCTCTGATTATTTTACATAAAATATGAAAGAAGTATAAATAGAGAATTTAAAAGTCAGATTTTATAATTTAATATAAAACCACAAAATAACTTGATTGTGCTAGAAGCAAAATATAAAAACAACTCATTGTTGGCTTAGATAGACTGTTATTTATAAAACATTTCACATAAGCATCTTATCAGGAGTCAAAGGCTAAAGCCACAATCTATTCGTTTTCTAGTACCAAAGTCGTACTTCGCTAACCTTGAATACCTATGACATTTAAGATAAATGGGATTGAGATATTTCATAATATGCAATTAAATTCAATAGCAACATAGATAAGAGAGAATCTGTTACATTTAAAGCTACAGGCCAATAGAAGACAGTAAGGAATGTAGAATGTGCGTGTGTATGTGTGTAGATTGTATCATAAGAACTTGATTGTAGTTTCAGATTAGGCACATATAATGTGGTTAAGGATTGGTCCTTTTAAAGAACAATTTCTGTAGTTGTATAAAAGGTAATGCTCTATTTTCTTTCCCTTCTTCTGTGTGCATTTTCTGCTTGATGTACTTAAGGACCACTGCACTGCCCAAATAAAATAAAAGTTTAGTATATTTAGCCCCAATGAAAAAGTGCATGCATTTCATTATGCATTTTTTCATTGTAGGTATATCTTAAGAGAGCTTGCAAAAGCTGCAGTTTTCTTGTCTGCAGCACTTGCAACCTCACCCCCTTCTAACTAAGGCCCAATGTTATGTGGCTGTCCAACTTCCTAATGCAGTTCAATAAGAAATCTTTGCAAGGCAGGTGCTCTGAGCAAATGCTGCCTATTGAGTTTAGTTCCAGTGAGCTAAACTACCAGAAAATAACAGGATCAGTTGTTAATTGATAGCCAGGGAGGGTGTAACATGTAAGCTATGAAAGTGTTATCAGTTCTATCAATTTTATTGATATCTGCACTTTTTGTAAAACATAAAGTACTTCAGCAAGATAACATGCTTTTGTGTTTGTAGTGTTCAGCCTATTTAACTAGCTAGCTCTTTGAAATCCATATACTAGTCCAGGCATAGGCAACCTTCGGCACTTCAGATGTTTTGGACTACACCTCCCATGATGTTTTGCCAGCATTATGGGTGTAAGAGCATTATGGGAGATGTAGTCTAAAACATCTGGAGTGCCGAAGGTTGCCTATCCCTGTACTAGTCTATGCAGTGTATATTTAAGTAGAAGTTTGATTGCAGTAGGGTTGCACTGGGTAACACAAGAGTGAGCGCAATTCATGCAATGCACATATTATTTAAGCTTTCCTATATCTGGGATTGTTTAGGGTAAAATAACATAGCCTCTCAGCCATCTTTGATATAAGCACCCATATTCCTAATAGGGATAACAAAGGCTTTAATTTAATTTGTTTGAGTCAAAATCAGAAATGATGCAATTCTATTATTATTAAAGTATTTTTTATAGAAGTCACCTTTGAAGTATATGGGAATATTCGTGAACAATCACTTGAAACTTTTTTTCTATCAGTTGGGATTATTTCTGATGCTGATTGAAATTAATTAAGGCTTTAGTGCACAGTTTGTAAGATAAATGTGTTTTTGCAATATTTGTTCCGGGCTCCAAATGACATATACAGCGAGTGTGAATGAACTGATTCTCTAGAAGATCATGGAGGAGATATGTAGAAGGAAATGCTAATACAGACGGTAACTGACAAACTTAAAAGAGGCTTCCTGTTCAGAAATTATTGGGAATTACAGAATTGCAGTAAAAAAAGTATTAATTTGTGGGAAAGGTAGATATCTGAGAAGAAGAAAAAAAATTTAGTCAGTCCTGGTTTTCTACCCTAGCAAATTTGACTGAATATGTGAAATATTAATTCAGCTCTGGCAACATTGAAGACAGTAGCATACTAACACAAGGCGTGAAGGGGTGGTAGGTCTAAGGCACCCCCCTGTTGCCAGGTCAGGCACCTGGGAGATTCACCTTTAAAGGTAATGGGAATTTTTGTAGATCAGTTATTTGAAAAGCTTTTCTAATAGACTGGGATCATTTTAACCTCTTAGTTTTTCATTTTCTTACCGTTAAGGACCAGGGCTGTTTTAACATTTCTGCTGTGTTTGTGTTTAGCTGTAATTTTCCTCTTATTCAATTACTGTACCCACACATAATATATATATTTTTTTGCATTAAATGGTCTTTCCAAAGATACCATTATTGTCATCCTATCATATTATTTACTATAAAAAAATGTTATAAAATATGATGAACAAAATGTAAAAATGCACACTTTTTCTAACTTTGACCACCAAAATCTGTTATGCATTTGCAACCACCGTAAAACACCCATGCTAAATAGTTTCTAAATGTTGTCCTGAGTTTAGAAATACCCAATGTTAACATGTTCTTAGCTTTTTAAAAAAAATTAGAGGGCAATAAGTACAAGTAGCACTTTGCTATTTCCATACAATTTCTTTTCAAAATAACAAAAGTTACATTGTAACACTAATATCTGTCAGGAATCCCTGAATAACCCTTCACATGTATATATTTTTTAAAAGAAGACAACTCAAGGTATCAAAGTTGGGGTATTTTGACTGTTTTCTTGCAACCATTTTACCACCAATCTATGCCAAATGTAAAAAAAAAATAATTACTGGTGATTTTTTGGACACACATAGCAACTTTAACGGTTACTGCCAAAGAACATCAAATATGTGTTCAGCAACATCTCCTGAGTACAGTGATACCACCCATGTATAGATGTGTCCGGTTCTATGGGGGCTAAAATACCTTATTTGAAGCCAGCCAATGTTATTTACCCCCATCAAACCATATATTTTTGAATAGTAGACACCCTAAGGTATTTAAAATGGTGGTATTTTAACACTTTCCATGCACTAATGTTACCACTAGTCTTTGTCAAACTTTTGGGTAGTCATTTTTTTGTGTTATTTTTCTCTCACACTGGCCAGATTGGTTTGCTGGGCCTATGTTGCCATTGAGACCGTATGGCAGCCCAGGAATGAAAATTAACCCCATCATGGCATACCATTTGTAAAAGAAGACAACCCAGGGTATTCAAAATGGGGTATGTCCAGTATTTTTTAATAGCCACTTAGTCATAAGCCCTAGCCAAAATGAGCGTTTATATTTGTTTTTTTTTGCATTTTTCACACATAAAATGCCATTTCACTGATATTATCAGCATAATAAATTTTACTGCTCTAAAACACTCATATTTGTGTAAAGTAATGTCTCACGAGTACAACAGTACCCCTTAAATACAGGTTTTATGGTGATTTGGAAAGTTACACTGTCAAACATAAAATTTCCCAATTTCTGTTTTTGTAAATTGCTACTTGCCAGATTGGCTATGTTGCCTTTGAGACGATATGGCAGCCCAGAAATGAAAATTAACTCCACAATGACATACCACTTGAAAAAGAATTTAGTAAGGATATTGACCAAGGGACAGGTCAGAGTGTCTCCTACCAACTAAAACTGCAAGTTGGAGAAGGCCTATGACTAAATCTCCTAGTCAAAAAAGAGGTCACCTAGTTGTACTAGATAAACAGGGTATAACCCTAATCACTAAAATTCGAAAAGGAATGAAGACAATGTCCAAGGTATTCACTCCAAATGGAAGTGAATGTCTAGGAATAGATACAACTTGGGTTAAATAAGTAGCTCACATACCAAGAAATATAGTAAAAACCTTTATTAGTACATAAGGCATAGAGCTACTATCCACAGTGAAAGGGTCCTGAAGAGGAACAGAGTATATATTTTAGGTAGAGGGAAACACCATAGGGTGCAGACAGGTATTCCACTACAATAAAATCAAAAATAAATTGGTGAGAGCACACTAAAAACCATGCATATAACCACTTATGTACACTTAAATGTATCCTGCAAATAAAACAAAGCAGGAAAATACAACAATGGGTAATAACGTTTAAAATATGTGAAACCTATGGTAAAATTAGGCACACTCACATGGTCATGAGCCACTTAAAATGAGCTGGCTCAGACTAAGGGTATTGGGTAAATACAAGTGGTCGCAGGATACCAGACTGTCCTCTCCGTGTCCTTATGGTGTTTTTTTCACAGATACTCCAGGATGCAGGATATCAGCAAAAATAAATTTATTGGCCAAACCTTTTAAAAGACACAGCTTTAAATAAAATAAAAGAGTCCACTATACAATTGTAAGGTACTTGATGCGTTTCGGCATTAGCTTTTTTCAAAAATCTGTTCTCCACCTTCTACAACCAAGTCTTTAAATATGCCGGTATTTGGCGCCTTTTTTTGTCCATGAAAACTCCTCCTACTTCCATTTTTGGCGCCAGGACTGCATCCTCCGTCCTGGCGTCCTTTCCATCTGGTTTCCGCTTACATCATTGGTGATCATGACGTGTATCGGGCGGGATGAAGTCTCATGTTCCTGCTTGCCGGTTTTGACCTCACTTAATATGAAAGTTCAATTTGCATATGGGCAACAAACATATATATGGACAAATTCAACACATTAAACGACATGATAACCATATCAAAGTTTAAAACAAACTAATTAAACATATATGTATACATAATTCCCTATATCCTAAAAAATATTTTATTTATATATATAAAAATCAATTTGATATAATAAACCTCAGAAACATATTTCAAAACCTAAAATAGGAATAAAATACAGGATGATTCAGAGTGCTCAGAAGAGGCAAGGGAAAGGGAGAAAAACCATGTATTAAAAAAAAACTAAAAATCATATATTATAATTTTCAATATATAAAAAATATTCTTAAAACGTGTTTTACAGTAAAAATAATAATAATACGATAAGACACCCATTTGTATAAATATAAGAAGGCTATATATATATATATATATATATATATCTATATGTATATAGATATATATATATATATATATATATATATCAAAGATATCTAAAAACCTTATCTATACATAATCTTTTGCATAAAATCAATATAACTTTTTTAAAACCACATGTTCAAATTTTAAAATTTAGTAAAAATTAAAATCCAGCACACTCACTTATCTACTAAACAGTTATTTTAGTGCTGAACAATTTTATTAGTTTTATTAAAAACACCTAATCTAGGCAAAAAATAATGGGGGTTTAGTTACATTATATGATTATACATTGCATAACCCTGCCACAACTCCAATGTACCCCATCTTTGGCAGGTCCTACTCTGTCTGCTAAATGAGCTACTCACTTGGGGAAATCCTTCCATCTTGAG